TTTGGATCCGACCTCCGCACCCAGGAGGAAAAATACTAAAAATGATCTTTAAAAATAAAATTTAAAAAATCACAAATTGACACTGATTTATTTCAAATTCCAATGGCTTTATTTTATGTATATAGATTTGTATATATTTATATATATTTATATATTATATATATATACTTATGTAACAACTTTTACTCAGTTGCTTGATTATCATCTTTTGTTCAGCTTAAGTTCAAACGACATGACACTAAGACCAAAGGCATTCCACACGATCATATCTTACAAAAGAGTAAAGAAAACAACATGAGTGTGTGCACCTGTCGTACACGCACACATACATACATCAATGTACAGGTATCGTGGTTCTGCTTGTAGAAAGAACTGAAAACTAAAAAGTCGACCGAGACAGAGACGAGCAGACAGAGTGAGAGTGTGAGGGAGAGAGAGTGAGGAACCAGATGAACCACTGGAGTCGAACTGGAGGATTCTGTTGCATAGATTGAAGCAAACAGGAGGAGGATGTCTGACGGGAAACAGACGAGGATGAAGAGTGAACGAAGGGAGAAGGTGACACACACACTGAGGAAACACACCGAGCCAACAGCCCACCTGACACACACACACACACACACACACACACACACACACACACACACACAGGGAAGCACAGGTAGTTTTATTTTGGCTCACAAACAAACAAACAGATCAGTGCTGAGGCTCAGACAGGACTGAAGACACTGAGGCCACATCCTCTGTATTTAGCATTATGATGAAAAAGCTAACATGCATCAAGTAGCATTAAACACAAAGTGCAGCTGAGGCTGATGGGAATGTCGGTAGTTTTGCAGAAATTTGGTCACAAACCAAAGTAATGGACACAATGATGAATTTGACCTGATGAAGTGTCACCAAAGTGATTATAACTCGTTACCAGATCACTAATTACTACATTTCATCCAATAGATGTTGACACATTACACTGTGAACACGTCTGGTGATCCATCAGATAAATACTGATTCATTTCAGTCGACATCATGTTGGATGTTTGTCTTTTCTGTCACTCTGTTTATCTCCAACACGTCTGAACTTCCCCCTTTGTCGTAATTAGGACTTGGACGTTCACGTGAACCTGACGCTGGTTATTTATCCTCAGGATACCATACATAATTTAAACATTACTACACAAACTTAAGTAAATAAAAGGATTCACTTTGTCCTCAGCAGAACTGTATCCCTGGCAGTGTGAAGAAGGCTGTCAAATAACATCTAGACCTCCATATTTGGGAATAAACTATACAGAAAATATAAACAATTCAAAATAATCCAAATAATTAAAGAGCGAGATTCTATTTTTGGTTGCGTTGAGAGCGACATTTATGACCTCAGTATTTCTTGAATCTTGCTGCCAGACATGTTAAAACCTCGGTGTACTTTAACGTGAGCACAAGGTCCAACGTTTCCACACCGACACAAAACTTCAATGCACAAAACACCGTCACCATGACGACTGTTTCTACAACCTGATAAAACACAAAATTAAAAATATATATTTTTTATAATACAGAAATCAAATTTGAGGAGAAATGTTCAGTTGTGTTATGAAGACGTCAGAAGTTTGTATCTACTGTAAGTGATGTGTATGAAACTCACATCAGTTTTTAATCAGTGTCCTGTTTAGAGAGGGGCCATATTTAGCTTAGCTTAGCATAAAGACTGGATGCAGAGGGAAACTGCTAGCCTGCCTCCATCCAAAGAGAAAACAAATCCATCTTTCCAACAACTCCAAAGTGAAATATTTTGTGGTTTTCGTGCTGTTTTAGACTATACAAGAGGGGAAACAGTTTTATTTTATGGCAGTGGATATTCAGATTAAAATGTAAAATCTGATATTTGTTTTATGACATGAACACGTTTGATAAAGATCCCTTACAGTTGGTTATTAAAGGATTGTGGTCGAGATATGTAACAAACGTGACATTTTAAGTTAAAGTATTAGGTTAAAACGATAAAAAAATTTATTAATTAACTATTTTGATGTCAAACATTTTTCTCAAAAGTGTTGATTTGCTGCTTTTCTTTATCAGTTACGAAGGTAAACTTAATATCTTTGCCACCTTTCCCACAATTTTCAGACATTTTACAGACAAAATTATATAATAATCAAAACAAAATGTATATGGCCAAACTGATACATCTGTGATAAGATAAAGTCGGTCGGGCTCTAACATGAACACAGACAGGTGAAACTCCATTATCCTCATCTTCCTCCCCCGACCTGGCCAGTAGAGAGAAGCAGGAGGATGATGATGAAGATCAATGGATGCGATTGGAGAGATGATGACACCTGCAGGGCTGGAAGCCTACCTGAACCACATGCTGAAGGCCTGTTAACTGTCATCGTCTCCCTCCTCCTCTCACTGCACAGATGAGTGGGTGATGAGTTCAGGGGGAATCTGTAAATGTGAGTGTTTAATGTGTGTGTGTGTGTGTTTGTGTGTGCTGTGTGACCGGAGGGGTGAAAACAGTGGAGAGGCGGATGAGCGGACAGAGCTGTTATTAAATTATTCTGTTTTCTGGATAAATGGAGAATGATGGAGAAAAAAAAAAGGAAGAATCTTTATCTTTCATCAATCCATCCATCAGAAGTCACACAGTTTAATTTCCTCAGTGTGTTTCACCTCACAGTGCAAATACATGTGTGTGTGCGTTAGTGTGTAATGTTGCATGTGTTTTTTTTTTGGGGGGGGGTGAGGGCAGGGGGGGGCATGTATTTGAGATTCATTTGGAAAACAAGTCAACATTTTGGGATGTTTCATTCCATACTAAAACATGCAGAACACAGAACATTGAACACATATACTGAACAATTAGTTTTATCCAAATGCAGTTTCTCTTTTTTTTTTTTTTTTTTTTTCCTATATATCTCTTTTTCGCACAGAGTGGCTTTAGGCTACACAGAACACGACGGAACCAATCGCACCAGGTTGGACATATTGCTTTAAACCACCAAATTTTGTATATATGTCATGCATGCCACATAGATGATATTATGTTTATACAAAAATAACACCAACGCCTATTACTGTGTATCATAGTAATTACAGAAAACAAATCTTTTTCAGTCTTTTTTGCAATGAACTGAGAAACCATATATATGTATATCTATGTATTTATATCCATATATATATATATATATATAAACATATATACATACATACATACTAGATATAAATACATAGAGATAATATATAAATATATAGATATATATGTTTAGTGGTTATGACTTTTCAAACTGTGATATTCCAGTTAGTTTGAACCATTTTTTTTTTTAATTTGTGAATTTTGAAGTGGATGTGAAGGTTCTCCAAAGAATTCCTTAATATCCGACGACAGGAAGCTGTTCTGAGAAAGACAGTGCTCTGAAGAGGAAGCAGTCAAAATGCAACAATGACCGGATAAGAAGTGAAGAGTTCATTTTCCATACAGAAGTCCTATTGGAAAACTGTGGCAAAACTGAGGTCTTCTTCAGAAAACTAAAACCAGGTGAAGAGTTTCAGTCCGCTGCTGAGTCTCGTCCGGACTGTTTTATTTGTGACGCAGCTGAAACCAGAAGCACAAACAGGTCTCCGACGGCGGGCTGTACTGTGCACCGTGAGACGTGAGGGCAACCAGTCCAACAGAGGACCACCACAGCCACACCAAGGCCATGGCAAGAGCAGAGGGACAATCTTATCCAGACGGAAGGGAAGGAGGGATGGAGGGAGGAAGGGAAGAGGAGGAGGAGCAAGGGGAAGGGGAGGGGGGGTCATGTGACAGCAAACTTTCTAATCAAACTTGTGCAGAAGAAGAAAAGAAAAGAGAAAACGACTTTGGCAGAACATTCTTAAAGCTTTGCTGGGTGGTGATTGGCTGATTGCCTCCTCTCCCATTTCCTGTCACCGACGCAGACAGCAGGGTAACACTTCATCCACTTATATGACAATATTTACACTGTACTGACTGTGAGGTGTTTCTGTCCGATTCAGCAGCTGAACAGAAACAAAAAATCATCGTTTTGGAAGGTGCGTCTCATTTATGCCCAACGGACGCACAGCAGGAAGAGGAAGTGACGCCACGAGCGCTTTTAACAGTCCTGCTCTCTTCCCGGGAGAATGTTTCTGAAGTTGTATAAAATGGCGATGACATCTACAGATGTAGCCGTGTCCCTTCGCAGGCTCCGCCTCCTTAAACGTCTGAATTTCATGACCAAAATTAACAATTAGGAGTGAATCTGGAAAAAGATGAAAGGACGTCTTTTCCTCCTTTAGACGACACTCAGGCCCCTCGACGCCTGAGTACGCACACATACACAGCTAACGGCAATTTGTAACCTAATTACTAAAATTTTGGTTTCAACAAACATTCAGATTTCGTCACAGCAACCTTGGTAAAGTTATCACAGCTGCTGGTCAAAGTAATTAATGTTTAAAATACTGACAAATAAACTAACAGAGGAACTCAGAGAGAGTCCACATTTTGGTCGGTGGCCCCACGTTGGCGGAGGTCTTCGCGAGTCCGGTTTCTAGCAAACGAGACACGAGGTTATATTCAGTCTAATCTGGTTTCTGTCGCGTCCTGTCGTATCGCCCTTGTTCTCGGATCACTTTTTGGAGCGGCTCCGACCTTCCTCGGACCCGTCTGTACTGGGTCTAACTGTCCTCGAGTCCGGAGTCCGTAGACTTAATGCATGTTTTGGTTCTGGTTTGGTTTCATGATTTGCTCTGCTTTTGGTCCTTGGGTTACTTTCTCAGTTTTGGTCCGTCTGTTTGGGTTCAGAGCTTCTTTTTTCGGACGAGGGCTGACACGCCCCTTAAAAAGGAGGCGGAGCCTGAAGCGGGACGCAGCTTTTGATCCTCTTTAAAGTCGTCAGCTCCGACAACAGTCAGTTGGAAAACAGCGTCAATCCACTCATTCAAAAGAAAAATCAGCCGTAGTAGCTTCAAAGTATAGAAACAAAGAAACCCAGAGGTTGGATAAATAATTATACACTCCCATTTAATGTTTGATACAGTTAGCTGTATTCACGTTGCATTTGCTGAACTCTAATGGAGTTGGATAACTTGCGAAATCACATAGCGTGTAGTGTATCACAACATCTTAGATAAAGTGAATATACTCATGAAAAAGGGGGCTGAGGAGACTAGATTGTTGAGATTCCAATTGAACGGCCAACAAGAAGTAAACAAGTCACTGCAGGTTTTTGAGCCCTAACATCGGGTGACCAAGACGACACACGTGGCATAAATATTTAGAGAGCTGTAAAAAGACACAGTCCACGTTAGATTCATCTCATTCATGTACTGTACTGTCACCAAACTCTTCAGCCTATACATATATATTCATATATCTCCAAAATATTAAAAAGTACTTAATATAAAAATACAGAAGAATTGTAAAAAATGAGCAAAACATTGAATTTTATATGAAAACCATGCAAGAAAGATTCCCCATTTAGTTAAATAGTAACTCTAAGATTCAGGAAAGCAAGGGAATGAAAGGAAAGTGGTCGGATGAGAGAAGCGCAGGCGAACTGCCACCCACTTGCTTTTCATGTAAACATTGTAGAGGTCCTTTAAACTTGGTTCGGCAGTGACGACTGAAGATTTTCTCCTTGCTTTTTGGTCATGTTTGGAGAGTAAAGGGCCGGGGGGGAGGGAGGGGAGGGGGTGGGGTAGGGGTTGGGAGGAGTCAAGGGGGTCAGGGGTGAGAAAGTCCAAAGGAAACCTTGATAACAATGAGATAAAAAACAATACAGACAACCTATAAAATATGGCTCTGAGTTACATAGAAAAAGCTCATCAGAGGGGAGAGGAAGAACCTAGTCATGACAAAAAGTTGGAAATATGGCAGTAGTAGCACATTACTTCAATAACGTGTCCTAGTTCATAGATAGGTTAATGGCTGCTAGTCAGACTAAGAGGGGATTAGATGCATCGCTGCTTCTGATTGGAAGATGATTCCTTCTTCTTTTAAGACAGTAATCTGCGGACAACGGCCGGCAGGAAGTACTGAGCGGCAGCAGGGACACACAGTGGATTTAACTCTACAGGCTGACTGGTGACATCGTCAGTCTCCCATAAACCTCAGCTTGGCCGTCACACTGACGTCTGTCAATTAAAACACAGCAGAGCGGAGAGCGCTGATGATCAAACTCTCTCCGCAGCTGGCCGTGTGATGTCACTGACAGCTGATTTAGTTTCTGTTCATAAAATCTGACAAACGAGGGAGCAGAAACGTCAGAACTGGTACTAAGATTTGTCTTGAACACAGACAGACGGTCCAGACCCCGTTCAGAGATCCATTAACGTCCTGTCTGTTGCACTGAATCTGACCCAAAAGAGACTCATCGACACCGTAGTCGTTCCCCTCGTTAAAGCAAATGTTTGAGCCGTAAATGGAAATGTGCCAACTCACCTTTCCCCCAGTGTGAGCTGGGAGAGGCAGTTCTATCTGTATAGCGCCAAATCATAACAGAAGTTATCTCACGTCACTTTTCATATAGAGCAGGTTTAGACCGTACTCTGTATAGAAGCATTTACAGAGACCCAACAATTCCCACCATGAACAAGCACTAGGCGACAGCGGCGAGGAAAAACATGGCACAGGTATGTACCCAAAATCTAAGACCACACAGACAATACATGTCCATGTATGCAGACACACACTGTAGAGTATCTCAGGGCTTTACCTTCCCTGCTGCAGCTTCCTCTGCAGTATTAATGAGTCTGTTTTAGTCGTGTGGTGGTAACAGGATATTCAGTCCGACAGACAGGACAGTTAAGCTCTAAACGGACGCTGCTGCGGACTAACACACATATGGTCGTCTAAACAGAATCCCAAATATTCATTCCTAACTTTATCATGCGACTCAACAAGAATGAAACATAACATGCATCCTACTAGAGGGGGAACCACACTCCTGTTTCCTATCAACACTGTGGACCTACTGGAGGAGGGGCAGAGAGGGAATCAGAACCCCTAACTGGATGAGTTGAGGTCCGACCCCCACTGAGCAGAGAGCGAGCCCTCTCCGGACGCCGCCATGTTAGATATTTGTCTGGGCAAGTAAACATTCAGTCTTTCCACATGCAACACAGCAGCTAAAGAAAAACCAACACATACAGACACGATAAAGGGAAGAACATTTTTTTTAACAGTTGAACTGTGAAGACTGTAGTGTCACACTCACAAGACATTCTGAGGAGTTTGAATCAACCATCAATTAACAATCTTTAGAGGTTTTTTAAAAACAAAAAAACAAAAACAAAACAAAAAAACAAGGTTACATTTTTGCATTTGCCTAAAAATCTTCTGAACACCAAACCCGGCTGTTAGCTGTGTAGAGGAGCGAAAGCGTATGTACATGAGAATCATTGCACTCTTTGAAAAGTTCGGTGCCACTTTTGAGAGCGTTACGCAGGAATGAGCGAGTACAGAACACAACATGCGGCTGCGAGACCCCGCAAAGGTCGAAACCCAACATACTTCAAAAGCTTTTCAAAAAGGATCATCAAGTAAAAAATATACATGAATGGACAAGGACAGGCCTTCCACAGTGGAGACTCTGGACTCCACCCTCTACTTGATACATGAGTGTGGTGGTTGTGGAGGGACAAACTTACAGGCAGAACGATGCCACAGTCAGTATGAAAAACACAACGTGGCAGGAATGACTGAGGGGGTGAAGACGATGTGAAGCATGTGTGTGCACAGAATGAGAGGATGAGCGGAGTGACGACTTCCCTCCTCAGTGCGACAGTTCAGTTGGTGGGATGACAGATGATAAAGAGGAGGGAGGAGGAGGAAGGGGGGGAGGGAGGAGGAGCTCAGATGGATGACAAGAGGCTGAGGGGGAAGGTGCTGGGCGGCTCTCCTCCTCCCCCCGCCTAAGAGTGGGCGCCATGGAGGGGGTCAATCTCGTCTCCAGACTCCTCGATGGTGGGGATGCGAGCCTCCTCCTCGGACAGGGGGACGAACTCGGGATGGGCCATGAAACTGTGGATGGAGCTACGGGACTCTGGGCTCTCCAGCCCCGCGTACAGGGAGCTACGGAACGCGTTCACCACCTTAATCTGAAACAAAGACAGAGAAGAGACATCAGAGGACGAGCAGATTGACAGATACAGGTCCCATTTTTATGAAAATGTCAAACAAACACGGTGGTCGTGCAGCTGAATCTGGGCGGGTGGGGGGGGGGGTGGAGGTGCAAAACCACAAAACACAACGTTAACAAGTGAAACAGCTGGATGGGAACATGGCGGGAGAACAGAAAATATAATTTCCACAAAACATCAACAAAACAAAAAGGTCAAAAATAAAATAAAAAGGTCAACATGATGTCGGAGGCAGCCGAGTGCAGGAAGACAAACTGCAACCAAAATCCACCAACAGGCGGCAAAATGTGGAGGGGCATCAGATCACCATGGCTACAACACACACACACACACACACACACACACACACACACACACACACACACACACACACACACACACACACACACACACACACACACACACACACACACACACACACACACACACACACAGGGATTTGCTCCCATTCAGTCACAAGAGTGTCAGTGAGATCCAACACTGATGTTGGGTGATAACATTTAGCTCACAGTTGGAATCTGAGCGCATCCCAGAGGTGTTTGATGGGGTTGAAGTCAGGTGTCACTTATTCCACCAACAGGAGCTCACTATCGTCTAAAGTGTTTACATTATAGTGTAAATAGATTTCCCCTCGTAAGAATTACACATCAGGAGAAACACAACCAGACCAAAAGGATGTGGAGTTGTTAACTGAACCTCAGTACATTTTCTGTCTGAAGTGCACCTGCAGTCTGTTTGATCCAATAGTTCCTGATTGAAATCATAATGATGCCAGTTTTTAGGGATACTACATACTACATGTCCCCAGATCTGCTCTGTGTTCATCAGTTTGTGTGACTAAACACAACTTCTTTCATCAATATTCAACATGTAATAACAGGACAAGCTAACATTATAAATGACTGTGACACAGGGCCACCACATTATCTAATGACCTGTCTTTCTTTATACTGTACTTTAGAGTTTAATTCACTAACATATAATAATTCAAATATTTATATATGAACAAATATCTATAAAACACCAAAGAACTATTGAAATGCAGAAAAAAACATTACTACAGGGGCCCCTGGAGGTCTGGGCCCCGCTTTGCCAACTTGTAATACAGCCTTGATGGTGTCAGTGCTATTATAGAAAACGATACATGGCCCCAATAAACAACACACACACACACAAACACACACACACACACACACACACACACACACACACACACACACACACACACACACACACACACACACACACACACACACACACACCATTAAGCCTTTCCAATCACACCCGGAGTCAGAATCATTTTGTCCTCTAGCTGCTCCCTTCTCTCTTCTTTAAGTCGTTTCCTCTGTCATGAATCCACAGAGGCTGCAGCTGATCACACTGATTTATACGCACCAGCAGACCCTCTTCATCATAATTAATAACCCTGCAGTTCAAAGCTCTCTATTACTGAACCACAGGAGAGCTGCAGGCTGAGCACTGCAGCTTAGAGCATACATGCAGCCATCACACCACACACACACACACACACACACACACACACACACACACACACACACACACACACACACACACACACACACACACACACACACACACACACACACACACAAACACATACACACAAAGCTCACAAGTTAAAAAGCTCTTGGCTGTTAAACCATGAGAGACTTGCTGAGCCTGACAGATTTAACCCTGCTCAGGATTAACCCATAAAATTATCTTGGTGCCCAGGCCGTCGCCTCTGAGAAAAAGACGGGGAAAAAAAACAACAACAAAGAAAATAGAACAAGGATTTTTTTTCTCCTCTCTGTCACGAATCAGAACATTTCGCAACTCCTTTCTCTTCTCGTTGGCCACATGTGCCAACAGCTGTGATCTGTCATCGGCTCGTCAGGCAGCAAGTCACATCAGGGTTAATAGATGCATGTTAAGAGTTTAAATCTCCACAACATGCAGGAGAAGCAGCGGGCTGAGCGATGAAAGGTATTAAAAAAAGGGACGAGAAGGAGATTAAGACGGAGGGTAAGCTACAGCAGAGGAAGGTGAAGTGGGAAGCACAAAGTAACAGTGAGAGATGGAAACAGGTCGACTGATCAGGTTGTCTGCAAGTTCATTTCTAAGAGCTTTAATATGGTTTTCAGTTCAAGATTAAAGCTGGCCATATTTTATATTTTATTACTGTCAACACATCCCTGTGTTCGTCCTGCTCTGTGTGCGGCACTCAAACCTCCACTGGCTCCTACTGAAGACATAAAAACTTTAAAAACAGCTCAGAAATATATAATTTAATTTATAAACACGGCTCAGTGATTTTCTATAATAGCTTCCTTACTGACAGCTCCATACTTGATATCCATCTTCTAATCTCACTCTCAGGCAGAGAAATCTTACCACGTACAACTCTCAGTACTTTAACATCTTCTAAACTAATTAATTACCAATTAATGCAAACTGGGTAAAATGTTCAGATTAAAAGCTTTCTACTGGAAACCCTTTGGGAGGCTTTTATTCTGAAGCTGCCACAGAAAAAGCTTTTTTTTTTATTTTATTATATCTGTTTTTATTTTGTCAGCTCATCAGTTTTATTTATTATCAGATATTGTTGGCTGCTCACAGGTTGGCTTGATGTGAGTATCCTCCATTAGAGAATAATACGACTAAATTAGGGATCGTATTACTGTGTATGTCATCCGATATGTGTCGTTATGAAAATGTTTTTGGTATATAATGCTTGTAGACTTTACACTACTGATGTTTAGTTATTTATTTGATTTTTATTTATTATTTGTTTTCTCAGTGTTCATTTCTGGTCATTTAACCTGCACGCTAAAATATACAATTTAGACTATTTACTATTTGTTTTAGACTTAGATATTGTATATAAAGTTATTTTACCATTTCTGTACCTTTGCAGAGTCACATTGGTGTGAAATGGATCTATTTTCCTTCCAGTTCAAAAATGTACTATATCGGCCACATTATTAGTAATGGGTTTATACTAAATGTCTTTTGGCATTATGGAAGGCTAAAATACTAATACTGATTCAATACCTTTGTTATTTACAATGAACGACTTGGAGACATCAGTCACATCAGTTCTAAGTGTTATGTAAATTGTACAAAAAGTGCATGTAAATGTATGTAAATTACAATAATATTATGATGAATCATTATAATAATAGCTAAGATAATCATTCAGATTCAGGATATGCAGACACCTGCTGATGACAGAAACAGTGGGAGGGATTAATGTTGGTGAGTCATGCAGTGTTCAGCGTTTCATGCAGATCAAACAGAGAAAAAAAAAAGGAGTCCAGCCGGGTGAAGTGAGTTGTTAGCTGGCCTCAGGTCACCGACTCACTGCCTGCAGTAGAGGAGGAAGCAGCAGCAGCAGGGGGTGGAGCCCCAGCCGAGTTGGTGAGAGAGGAGGAGGAGCTAAGCCCTACGTGGGTGGGGCTAGAGAGAGTTTTGGCGGCAGTGGCGTCATTGTGCTGGCTGACGACGGATGGCTGGCGGCGCAGGGCACCGGGCACCGGTGCCTGGCCCGTCTGGAAGGTATAGACCACATCCATCTAAAGGAAGGACAGCCACAAAAGACTGTTAGATAGCAAGAGAGACAGAGCAAGGAGACAGGGCAGAGGAAACAGGAAGGGAGGAAAAGACTTCTGGAGAGGTTAGAGAGGCTTTTAAAGAGGCTGCATGGTGAATTCTGACAGTTTTGGCCTTTGAAGGTCAGTACTCATATTTCTTGAGAACCAGACAGAAAGAAATTGCTGCTTTAAAAGCATCAATTTTTACTTTTAAAAAGTCAGTCGGTTGTTTGTTGGTCATAAAGAGGTTTGAGGAACCGTGTTCACTATGGCTGGGTATCAAACTGGCACTGAACACTTTATCAAAGTCTGTTTACCTCTTTGATCAGACACCAGGTTTTAACATGTCTGTTGCTTGAGATAAGAAAAGGAGGCTTGTTGGGTTGGATTTTATTCTGGATTGTGTTAAAACCAGATCCAGATGATTATTGACACCTGAGATCTGATCTCAATGTGAACCAGACCACCTCCACATGTGATCACATCTGATTGTTATATGCTCTGCTGCATTTACATCTGCTTTACCATGAGTTGTTCCTAATCCAGATAAAATACCCAGATACAGATCATATGTTGATACCAGTTTGAAGTCATATTTCAAGATTTAAATACTATATATTTATATATACTATATATATAATCTTAGAGGTTTTTGTAGTTCTTATGTTTTTGGCAGAAAGAGGACACAGCAGCATGAAGAGAATAAGAGAGATTCTTGTTTCTTTTTAAAAGAGCATTATGGTGGGATTTTGCACATTTTACATAATCCATCTTCCCATAGGATAACCTACACAGTGGCCATCTGTTCTGCAGCAGAAACACATTATAATCAAGCTGATAGAAAGTGGGAACAGAGACACAGAAGAACGTGAGACTGAAACAAAGACGAGAAGAAGTGGATGTGGGAGAGATCGGGAGTGAGGAGACGAGGAGGAAAGTTTGAGAGAAAGAGCATTCAGAGAGAGAAAGCTGTCATTTAGTTAGTGAAAGACAAAATGTGAAAATCCAGAAGAAGCTCCGACAGAACGAAGGGATGAAGGAAGAAACGGAACAATGAATAAAGAGCTTTTGAATCAGGCTGAAAGCTCTTTGAGGAGAAATTGTGTCACTTGGAACGACTGATAAAGTTTCAGGAGCGAGGTGCTGCTTGTACCAATTATTCCCCCACTGTGTTTGACTGTTGAGGCGTTGAGCGGCACAACGCTGCCCACCAGGATTAGAGAGGAGGAGGACAGGAAGAGGAGCGTGGAGAGATAAGAACCTAATTAGCTTGCAGCCTTTCGTTGCCTCCCCCTCCGTCCTCCCATCCTCCCATCCCAGGAGGATGACAGGCTGATATTACAGATACACAGGCATGAAGAGAAAAGAGAGAGCTTCCTCTTTTCTTTACAATGAGTCTGATGTTGGAGAAAACACAAGATGGGAAGAGCTTTGTTTCAGTTCCTCTTCGCATCACTTCCTTCTTTCACAGCGCTCTGCAGCTTCATGAAGGCCACGTGAAGGTTATTTTCGGACACTTCTAAATCAGGGTTTCCACTGGAACTGAAACCAAGGCTGCACCCACCCGTCCATTTAGTAGCTTCTGATCACATGATCTTAATCAGCAGATGAGTTTTTCCAAGTTGTCATGGAATTGCAGATGTTTAAATTTCCATTTCTTTCCAGGGCACTTTAAGGACTTCTCATCCAGCTCCTTACGATTGTTTTCTCAGATCAATAATGAGCTCAGCTTGAGTCCTGCCATATATTGTTTACTTGTGTATTTTGTCCTTAAAAAGGATACAAAACAGTGTGTTTTAAAATCTCCTCTAACCTGCCTCTGACTGACTGACTTCTTTTGATTTAGCATGAAACTCGAGCCGGAGTCTGCACACATGCATTTTATTTTGAAAATTAACCGGAATCTCTATGCAAGTGGGTCGCGGCTTCCTTCAAAAATTGACCAGCCGCGTGTCTCTCTGCTGCTTGGTGCTGAGCAGGTGTATTGCACGGTGGGTTTTTAAAACAATGCTATGAGAGCAGTGAGAATGAACCAAAACAGAAAAGTTGAAACCGAACAGCTAAACAGTGAATCTGAATCATCCACAGATTCGGGTGATAATTAGCTGTAGGTTCATACATTGTTATTATAAAACTATTGCTTACAGCCACTTTAAATTAAAAGTAATTATGACTTGAGCACAGTTCCTGAAACAACAATAAAAGTCTGATATTGTGTCAGTTTGAGTCTGTGAGAGTTTTCAGAGTCTGTGTAAACAGAAAAACTCAAGAGGACCAAACAGAGCAAGATATTAGTTATTGTTAATTCAGATGTGTTTAGCTTCCGGCCACAGTAAGTACAAGTTAGTCCACTGCTGAGAGGAAAACACCTGACCTCCCTGACCGACTGTTTGTGTGTGTGTGTGAGCAGAGTGTTGGCTGCTGTTACTGTAGGTGGGTGTTAGCATCGAGGCTAATGAACCCCATAGGGACAGAATAGGACTGCCTGTGGAAAGGCTAACGCAGTGAGTGTTGATCTATCCTATTGGAGGAGGAGAACATGCTCACATGTGTCACTCACACAGAGCAAAGTCCCAGACTGTGAGATGAGTCACAGGGGAAGACAGCGCTGTGAAGGTGCTGCTGTTTGCTTCCAGTACTGACTGACTGAAGAATAAAAATATCTAATAAGCTTTCTTGTCCCACGCTGGATGTCATCTTTGATTTCTGTGTTTTAATAAAGTGGTTCTGTACTGAAGCTCTGCGGCGGAGTGTGAAATTACCCGGACAACAATTGTAGTGTGTGTGTGTGTGTGTGTGTGTGTTTGCATTAAATATCTCCAGGAAAATGGCGTTTGCTCCTCGCTGAGTGGCTGTACAACAACTACAGAAAGTGGAAATAATATTAATTCAACCTTATCGTTCAGCAAATATCTAAAATATATAATACAGAACCAAATAAATACGTAGCTTTAGTCGCACTGCTACAGGCTACAGAAGATCTTTCACATGATGGACAGCTGAGGAATATTCAAGCCAATATTTTGTCGTATTTTCCCACAAATTGATACGATGATGAAATCTAATTTATACATAAATGTCCTTGATTTCTTGAAGTCTTACATTTCACAGCCAGGTTCAGTCAGAGTGAATTAGCATGTGTTAGTTTGATTTTGTTGTCTCTCGCTAAAGAGACCTAGTTCTAATAATGATTAGATATTATTATTGTGTAATCTGATCCCAATATTAGTCTTCAGAGATCGTTACTGTGTTTCATTAGTCGATCACAGTCATGACTGGGATGAGACACATCGCCGACTACAAGGGACCCACTTTACTGTCCCACCTGACAGCACCAACATCATCATCCCCACAGCTGAAGATCAACATTGATCAACAACAACAGACAATTTCTGACCTGCTCGGCTTTCGGTACAAGACGTCGTGAGTTCTCTAACATGCTGAGTTCTCTAACATGCTGAGACACAAGATAACACCAGCAACTGTCGACCTCCACGTCTGTGGGGTTTGACCATTATTGGCCTGTAATCAAGTAGTATGAACTCTGCATTATGTGTTAAGATTACAATCAAAAGGAGGTATTTTGTTGTAACGTAAGATTTGCAGAAACCATTATATTTGCTACTTTTTTTTTTGTTGTATTAACAACTAAAAAAATCGATTTTTTAATATAATTCAAGTCCTTAATGTCCCACATTCAAACTAATTATCTAATCTAGCTTCTTAATGCTAACTTGTATTTGAATCTGATTTGACTAAAATGAACTGCAGCTCTTATAAACTGAGTGAATTAAATCTCTCCCCACCGTCTCAATGAAACATCACAGCTCTATTGGGACAATTTCACTCCACTCTCAGTTCTTTACCTCCCGTCGTTCGAAGGGGCGTTTGTTTGATTTTGGGAGAATGAAGGTGGCGAGGAGGCTGAATTTGATTTAAAGTTTGTTTTGTGATTCAGAAATTTACCTGAAACGCTGTCCAGGTATAAACAACAATTGACCAGTGAGACAACTGACCACAAACATACAAAAAAACAATAATAAAATCAAAAAGTAATCTTTTTTTCTTCCTCCTGAATCACCATAGCAACTGATGTGTTCTGCAGCTCTCATGACACCACAGATATCTGAGTCAAGTTATTACCTCCATAAACACCACCTTGGAAACCTGATTTAAAAAAACAACTTTAAACACAAAGTAAAGTTAGTGATAAAGTTCTTGGCAGTGTGCTGCGTGTCACTCTGAGGCGTGGCGTTCGTACCTGCGTCTGGATGCGGTTCAGACCTCTGAACCAGAGGATCTGGCCTCTCCTCAACTCCATCTCAGCGTGGTCGATCTCGTCGGCGCCCTCCGTCAGCTCCTCCTCGTGGATTTCCTCCTTTGTGGTGCCGTGTCCGGCCTCCTTCAGGAACTTCAGGTGGTGGGTTGGAATGGCCGAGATCAGCTGAGTTTGACAGAAAAAAGATTATTAATTGTTAATTGTTAGTGTGTTAGGGTGAACAGCATCAGTCGATACACTGCTGGTACCAATCGTGTTTTTTGTTATAGCAGCAACCTATTTAAATAATAATGCCTTTATTTATATAACACTTATTAAAACGTTACAAGGTACAACAGATAGCCAGCAAAGAACACATAAAACATAAAACAGAAACCTACAAAACACAGCAATTAAAGAACAGACGTACAAAACAAACATTTTTATAAAAAATAAAACAGAATAAAAACTAGAATCTGATGAAATCAGGGATGGCGCTGCAATAAAAGTACATTTTTATCTCAGATCTGAAAGGGGCCACAGACTCAGTCTGCTGCATTTCCTCAGGCTGGATGTTTCAGAGCCTCGGGGCTCTTATTTCAAAAGCTCTGTCCCCCTTATTCTTCAACCGAGTGTGGAACAGATAAAAGCCCCCTACCAGATGAGCAGTGCGAGAAGGGTCGTACGGGGATAAAAGATCTTCTACTGAGGAGTCAGACCATTTAGTGCCTTGTAATCAATTCATAAGTGTCATGGAAGCCAGTGTAAAGAGGCTAAAACGGGTCATGTGATCAAACCAGTTTACACTGGTTGAAAGGCGGGCGGCTGAGCTCTGTACTCCGTCTACCACTCTGTTACACAGTTGTGTCTATATAGACACATAAAAGGCTGAGACAGTAATCCAGGAGTGGTGAAATTAAAGCATGTAAAATAGTTTATGTATCTTTAAAACTTAACATATGTTGACTATTGTTCTGTAACGTGCTGCTCGAAGCTTATATTACACTCAACAAGGTTCTTATAGACATTACAAAATAAAACTCAAGGACACTCAAAGCATATAATTCATTTTAATTTATATGTGTTTGTGTGTGTGTGTGTGTGTGTGTGTGTGTGTATGTGTGTGTGTGTGTGTGTGTGTGTGTGTGTGTGTGTGTGTGTGTGTGTGTGTGTGTGTGTGTGTGTGTGTGAGAGAGACTAGATAAAAAATTACAGGAATAAAAATCCAGTTTGATTTCAGGAGACAGACTTGAAAGGAGGAAGACTAGTAAGTAGTATCCCTAATTAAAACTATGTTTATCGTTAGTTCAATTAAAACAGAGAGGAGGGGCCCCCCCCGGTAGCTCACCTGGTAGAGCGTGAGCCCCACGTACAGAGGCTGAGTCCTTACCGCAGTGGCTCAGGTGTCCCCTCTCTCTCCCTGTCTATCTTCTGTTGCTCTTTTCTAATAAAGGCAATAAAAGCCCCCACCCAAAAAAATAATGAGGAGCGAGACACACCCAGCCTCCCTCTATAGCTGCACATCATCAGCCTCTTATATTTCTGTCACTTTCTCTCTTTCTGTTAGAAACAAAAGGCATTTTAAAATAAACCACAGACCTCAGATCAGCCTGTTTCTGTCAGCATCTTTCTGTCTCTGTTCTCCGTCTCTGCCCTCCAACTGAACCCACCACACTTCTTCTCATGTCTGAACTTTTTGTTCTATATAATGTATGCTTTCTAAGCCTCTGTGTGTGTGTGTGTGTGTGTGTGTGTGTGTGTGTGTGTGTGTGTGTGTACATGTTAACAGGATCATGTATATGATGGTGTGTTCGAGTGCGTGTGTGTAACCACAGAGGGACTGACACGCTGGGTTTGTTTTCCCTCTGTGCTTGTAAACAGGAGTCGCGCTGCTTTCATGTGCTGAGCTCATTACCATGGCGATGGTTGTGATGGCAACCCCGCAGCAGCGCAAGTGTGACAGGCAACAGTTTGCTGCCACAAACCTCATGTATCCACCTCTTCATCTTCTCCTCAGTGCATGTTGTTTGTTCTCAGAAGGCAGATTTTTCACTTTTTGGCTCTGATGCTATTCGTTCGTAACAAAAACACAGCGGTGATGGTTCTGGTTCTGGTTCTGGTTCTGGCCTCACCTGTCCCCACAGCAGCTCTCCCACGCCGATGAACACACACCACAGCCACTGGTCGATGGTCAGAGCCGTGCAGGAGAACGGCTTCCCTCCGAACTGAACAATGACGATCTGAGGAGGAGGAGGAGGAACACATGTTGAATGAACTCTGGCGGTCTTAAAGGATTAGACTGATATTCTATATTTTTCTTATTGTCAACTGATCCCATGTGCAGACCCAAATCAACAGTGAATTGATCCTTCTAACTAGTACAGTCTGCGTATCCAACGCCTGATATATCTTATTCCTCTGTGCCATAGAGCTCCATTAAAAACACATCAATGAGTCACACTGTTGCACTGGGTGACATGTTCCTCCATTAACATGAACACACTAATTTAGTTTGACTCAATCCCACATACACCCTCCTGCTGCAGGAGATATTCACAAGAGCACCAAATGTGTATTTGGGAATCATTAGATGATGATCTATGTGACGATGATGAGGATGATGAACATTACCTGCAGAGCGAAGGTCCCCAGCACCACGCTGCAGAAGATTGGGTTCCTGTAGATGCCCTCGAACACGTTCCTCTCTCCATGGATCTTCCTGGCGTTGATTTCATTGAACAGTTGCATCATGACAAACACGTTGAAAACGATGGTGTAGTGCTCTGACGGCGGCGAGTGCAGGGGAGCGTTGCGGCCGCTGTCGATGTCGAAAAATGACTCACCTGAAAGAAGAAGATTTTTTTTTAAATCTCACTTTTTAGACAACAAATAATAAATATGTTAATATGCATTTCCAAATAGAAAACTTACAGATCGCCGCTCATAATGATTTTTCCACTGAGGTAACGAGCGGGCAGATTCTGGTTGAATGGGTTGTACAGTTCTGCTGTTGGAGCATGAATGTTGTTTAACTCACCAGCGAAGAGCAGGGTGAAGATGATGACGAGTTGGTACACGGCGTGGCCCAGGATGTTCTTCATCATAGTCCTGGAGATCAGAGGCTTGTTGCGGCCGTATGGTCTACGCAGCAGCAGAGACTCGGTGGGTGGCTCGGTGGCCAGAGCGAGAGATGCCAGCGTGTCCATGATGAGGTTGACCCAGAGCATTTGGACGGCCTTCAGAGGAGAGTCCTGCAAGAGGAGGAGAGCTCGGGAGTTTAATTCACAGAATGAATAGAAATATGAGTGAATAACAAGTCTCCATCTTGTTCTTGTGCTGGTATTTCCCTCCTTTTCCCACTTCTCTTTGCACATTTTGAGTGGACTCAAACAGCTTTGGGATAAGTGCACTGTTCTTCTCAAATTAAACAATTTTTAACTAACAAGTCTTCACCTCAGTTCAGTTTGCCCAGTGCAAATTTGTACTAATTTATATGCAATTGCAGCACCTCTAATATTCACTTCACATTCAGCCTGAGTGTGTGTCACCGCATGATAATATGATGTCTGTAGCCTCTGGTGGTATTTGCCTTTGGACAACTGCCAAGCTGTGTTTGGAAATGTACCATATACACATGTGAAGCACAATGTTACTGGATGTTTTGTCAGCTGGTTCCATCCAGTAAAACAATTTCCTCCAGGCATGTATTGGTAGATGTTTTTAAAAGTATTATTTACAGTAAATATTCTCCTACAGAGACACTGAATCTAACTTAATTTGAAGATATGACCGTAAATACATTATCTATCATAACGTTTAGGTCACTATTAAGGAAACTGAACATGATTTTAAAAGAGTTCGCACTGCTTTAACATTGTCAGACGCAGCAGAAGCAGAGATATCATCTTTTTTATTCCACGCATTCCTTCTCCCTGGTCAAAAACAGGTGCCTATGTTACCCACAATGCAACTCACCTGCTTCTAGTAGCAGTTCCAAGCGACATTACTTGAGACTTTTGTCACATATGCGGTAATATTTCCCCAAAAACCTGTAAACAGACTTTCCCTCTGAGTGGATTTACATTGGATATCCATTTTTATACAACCATCATTAAGCACCATAAGCAATTATATCATAATGTGTTCTCCGCTAGACCGATTCAAATGCATAAATGGAGCATTTACACACACACACACACACACACACCCACACACACACACACACACACACACACACACACACTTTATAGGACCCCCCTCCAGATCTGAAACCAAACATACGCCGATGCAACATTCCCCTGTATATACAATAAAAAACATAAGTCAGTTTACAGTCTTTTAATGATCTGTGCCAACATGTCAGTGGTCTAACAGCAACCAAGCAGTGGATGATCAGTGAGTATAAACACAGCACAGCGACCACAGACCTGCTGAGTCCCTGTTATATTTCAGGATTATGATGGTGACGTGTTGCCATGGTTTCAGGCTGTGTCTTAGCCTACTTTGTACTCTCTACTCTGTAGATGAGTTAGTTATCGGTCCTGCCAGCTGTGAGCCTTTCAATTAATACACAGCCGCAAGTTACTTTTTTTTTATTGTGTCAGGAGTTCAGTTTCCTGATTAGAGAAACATTATGAAACAAAAAAATGTGACACGGCTCCCTCGCCTCCTCACAACGCTGAGGCGGTTACATCAAAATAAAATAAAAAAATGACTTGCTTTTTCTTTCTTGTTTTCTTCTGTGGAGGTTTGATCAAAAATAAATGTACAGATGTAGTGTAAGAGCATATACATCAAACACAACAGCAAGCCTCAAGATGTAATATAACTATCAAGACACAAGCTTCAGTTCATGTTCAATCATCAAAATCCACAGAGACAGTAGAACAACTAATTTACTAACAACTGAGGATGCAGGATGCAGCAAATGTTATAAAACTCCGTCTTTGGTCTCTTTATTTGTTCGCAAGTTAACATCTTTTCTCATTCAAACGCATGCATCCTGATGGTTGAAGCAGCTGACTGATGGAAGGGACATGAAACATTTAAACCTGATGATATTAAAACCTGTGGAGAAGAATCAAACTTCTATATATCTCAACTGTCCAAAGACTTCACTGTTCTTTAAACGCAACTCCTCTTTACAAAGTCATTAGCAAAAACAACAAAATTAGTGATAATACCCCTTTACCGGGCTGTTAAGTGACCCTGAATCACCACAGGGGAAATTCCTTTGCTGCAACAGCCCTAAGAATGATTTCACTTTGATACTGGCAGCCATGGAATTCAATAATAACATCAATAACCCACAGAATCCAAAATTCAAAGAATTGGGTACCCATCTCGCTTTCCTGTGTCGTGATTGGCTGCGGGACGGCCCGGGATCTAACAAGGAGCTAGCTCGGAGAAATGTAGTGACAAGAGATTTTACGTTTAAGTGTTCCAAAGCTCCTGTTTTAGTAACTCCAACACTCCCTTGATGCTCCAAAGAGCTCTCAGTCTGGGCAGAGTCAGCTAATAGGACTGCTAGCTGCATGGCTAACCCTCTTGCACATGCTCTTGTGGAGTGTGTTGAGACTGCAGACCAGAGTGTCAGTGCAGTAGCTGATGCTGTGTAGGCTTGCCTCTGGGCATACAAGTACATTAAAAAGGTCAAATATAGTAACACGAGAAGGTTAAAGGGGAAAAAAGATTAATTAGTGTGAATAATAATGTGTTTATTTTTGTGAAAGGTCAAAAGGACTGTTATTATCTTGGTTTGCTGTTATTGATTTTAGTGTGAATCATTTCTCCTGATTTCATCGTTTCCCTCTTTAATTCATAAGTTTTGAGTTAATTTGTTGGGAAATAGTGATGTGATTTGTTTCTGGTATAAACAAACCACAGTGAAACCACAAAAATAAGGGAGGGGAGGGTAGAGAAGGAACTACACAAAATGTAACAACATAAGCATCTAAACATTTGACCTCTTTGGGTTTTTTTTACCATATAGTAATCCCACATTCATTTCAGGGCCAGTGTGTAGCCTTCAGCCTACCTGTGTGATGCAGGCGCCGGTGAACGCCACAATCACAGCCACCACGTTGACGGTCAGCTGAAACTGCAGGAACTTGGAGATGCTATCGTAGACGTTCCTTCCCCACATGACGGCCTTAACGATGCTGGTGAAGTTGTCGTCGGTCAGGATGATGTCTGACGCCTCCTTTGCCACGTCTGTGCCGGCGATTCCCTGATAAGCAGCAGAGGGGGACGATCAGAACCTGGTTTATGATTTTAGATGGAAACTAACCGGTCAGCTGCAGAAGTTCAGCTTCTAAAATAAAACTAGATAACAAGACCAGGTGATCAGGAGTTTGATCCCTCTGAACAGATGCTCTTAAACAAGGGACTCAACTCCAAACTGGTCGAACTGGGAATGTGAGAACAGGGTTGTCTGAAGAGGTTGATGGCTAGAAGAAGGAGAATCCACACTGATCTATACCTCTTTTCTAAAGAAAAAACACATATGCAGGGGACTTGGGGCTTGAGTGCCACACATCCTCTAACTGATGACACGGTGCATTTTATGTCAGAATTAATTTAAATTAATCTAAATGCAGGAATCAATTCATGAGCTGCAGCATCTTTTGTAACTAACAAGTATGACTGGATGACAAAGAACTCAAATATCAAACAGTATCTGCTGGTCAAAGGCTCAAACACTGTGTCTAAAAGAAAAAAAGTGGTATTTAATTGGAGTATTATCTGATCCTTTTTCCTTTCAAAATGGAATAAATCAGACATTAATATAATTCTCATCAAACGTATCTGCGTTGCAGATTTGGGGTAAATGACACCTCAGGCTACATCATCCTTATTTGCTTAAATTGAACGTTACTGTCGGTTATCTGTTGTTCTCTCAGAGCCTCAGCTCCCATTTAGATTTTTCCACGGTCTTTGGTATCAGAACAATCATTTAATTTTCTAGCAAGGTTGCAAAGTCTCAACATGAAAATTGGATTTTTTCACTTCACATCTAAAACTAAAGCAAACTCTACCTTAGTAGTGTACCAGGGTCAGGAACCCCCAGAGGGGTCACAAGATGAATCTGAGGGGTCGTGAGATAATAAAAGTAGATATATATATATATATATATATATTTCTGCCACAGATATTACAGCTTGTTTCAACCTCAGAGGGGAAAATCATTCTTTGGTTGAACTGCTCCTGACTCATATATCGTGCAACTGGTCAACATAAACACATCAACTGTGACAACTGACACCATATTATCTCTTTCCAGATCTAAAAGAGAGGTCCAGCTGGAGCACAGTTTCATGAGAGGTGGATAACTGACTGACTATCTTTCATGGAGTTTAATGTGACTGCTTCCTGTCTAATCTGCAGGAGAGAGCTGATGGGCTCAGGAATACAGCCTCAGCTGCATCAATCTTCTCTTACCTGTGAAGGCGTATGACAGAGAGAGGAGAGGGAAAGACCAGCTGCTCAGGTCAGAGTGGATTTAGTAGTAATGTACCTAGTTTTCTTGGAGAGAACAACGTGGCCAGTCCCCCCCTCCCTCCCTGGTGGTTTGAGTTTGACTGGTTTTAAGAATAACGCAGCTAGTGTGTACAAAGACGTGACAATAACACACATTAACACATGACTGAAGAGCGGGTCTTGTGTTAGCAGTAACCATAAAGAAGCTGTGGTGTGAGTTGCTGTGTCTCTCTGCAGAGTCAGACTCTCCCAGGCAGATGGAGGTGGATGGCTCTCTGTTCTCCAGCTGAGCAGGTGATAATTGAACGGGGACACTTGGGTTCAAACTGAAAATATTCCAAATGGGACACATTAGTACTGGAAGGTCACTGGTTTAAATCCCCAGACTGCCTCTGTGATGTGTTTAGGAAAAAGTAACTACTGACAGAGTGCGGCTTGACAGCGCAACAGCTGCTCGGCAGCCTGCAGGAAACACTGGTGTTCGGATGGCTTTCCTTAATAAATAAAGGTCACAACAACTCACAGGAGGCAGCTGATGTCACTGAGCTCATCCATAGGCCCTGAACTGTTTTTAATTGACCAATATCAGCTGATCATTTGGTCAGTGGACAGTAACTCTTTGTTCTCTGGAGTCAGCTGGGAGAACTGACGCACTGTGAATCTTTTCTGATCCAACAGAACAAAGGATCTGAACAAATATGAGCTGCTGATATTTGACAAACACTCTGACAGTGAGCACAGCCGGTTTCAATCAGTCTCTATTTCAGCAATATTTCTTAGGTGAGTTAAGAGCTGCTCCTGGTTTACAACTGCATCAGAGCCCACAAACCTCTTAGTTTATTACTTTATTTGGCAGGGACAGTGCATAGTATCATTATTTACAGGCTTAATCACAGTCACAGCATGTAGTAGCCGGGCACATCATATATTATTAGAATTTTAGACTATGGGTGGCTCTCAGAAATCAGATAATTTGGCTTTTAGATGAGGGATTAGGATATTGTTAACTAATGTATGCTTAGCTGTCTGTGACTACATCAGACAGCCATGAGATAAAAATATAAAAGCCATTCTCCATGTTGTCCCTCTCTGTGTTTTGGTCTTTGAAGAATAAGCACAGTAACGTCGTCACACACTGGAACCCCACTGTGCAGATGAGCAGAGACAACCAAGCTCAACATTTATTGATTTATTATTCCATTTCACAGCTATCTTAATAAATCCACGGCATTAAACTCGAGAGCTATTGTGGATGATGTAAAATTCCTATTTCATGGCTGCATTAGAAATGTAATTAACTCAAAGGGCTTTTTTTTTCATTCCTTTCGGTAATGATGCAGAACTGTAGCAGCAGATGAGTGAAGAGCTGTGAGAAGAAAAGAACAAACAACAGTGAAAAGGTGGAAAAATTAAGAAGTTGTTACCATGGCAAAGCCAACATCAGCTTTCTTGAGGGCGGGGCCATCGTTGGTACCGTCTCCTGTCACTGCCACCACCTGCCGGGTCTCACCCACTGTGCTGTCAATAATACCTGATCAACAGGGCGGGAAAAAAGAATAATCTCCATTTAAATGAGCGTATGAATATTTCAGAAAAGACATGAAGAAGAAATTAATTCTCTCCTCCTGTCGAAACTTTAAAATCACAAACATGTAATAACTATTTACTGTGTTTCAATTAGAGTTCAACCAATATGATATACGAGGCTTAAAACTACACTTCTACACAAAGACAGATAAACATATAAGCAGCTGTAAAACATGCTAAACAGAAAACATCCTATAATACTGACTCCCACCTTTGACCAGAGTGTGTTTGTCTGTTGGTGAAGAACGAGCAAGAACACGCAGTTTCGGCCAAACTTTGTCCAGACGCTCTTGTTCCACCTAGGAATATATAAAATGTGAGAAATAGTTTAATAGAAACATTGGAACACAACAGCCCTAGCATCATAACTCTCTTCAACATTGTCTCATTCATTTTTATTAAAACATAGAAAGTAATGTACGCTTGAGACGAGCTCTTACCACATTAATAATTCAACGATCATTTATTGATTGGTCCTATGGCGACTATGGCTGTATCACACATAAATATGGTCATAAATAATACTATATATATCTGTATATACTGTCCAATTTGTCCATAATTGTTTCATAATGAACCAAAACACCACAACACAGCATTTCTCACGCCCAGTACAAGTATCCGCTATCGATTACCTGGAGGACAATCTTCCCCCTGATCTACTCGTCCTCTACGGTCCAGAGAGACGTTCGCTGACGCAGACACGGTATATTTTATAAGCATGGACCAGGTAAAGCTAGAGTGAACAGCAGTAAACACATCAGCCTGTGCCGATGTCATTCAGGTATCACACTGGTTTCACAACGTTTCAAAAGGCTACGACATCCCCCACGTCACTCCCACAGGTAAACTGTGTAATAACAATATAAACCAAAGTGGAAAACTTTATCTTGGCATAAAAGATTCTGCATTAGTAAACACCTAAACAGTGACAAGTTTATCTTACAAACAACCAAGTAGTTCTTTATTCCCTTATAACTGTTTCAGTGACAGCAGTTAGTAAGGAGTAATTTCCACCAGCTGAGGAAGGTGTATAGTTAATAGTTTAATTTAATAGTGTTTACTCCCACGCCACGATGAAACTAACTTACACACAGCTGCTGCAACAACCTGCTGGACTCTAATGGGATAATGATGTTGCTCTTTGACTGCTCTATGTGTTAGGGACAGAGATTTGATAAGCCAAAATTACATCCAGGCTCAGTTGCTGTGGTCAACACTTCACACAGCTCCAGGTAAAATTTGAATGTCACACTTGTTGGCTGCAGTTAAAGATTTCTGTAGTCGTCTCACCTCTCCCTGGTCGTTTCTGATCTGCTGGTTGAACTCCTTGCCCTCCATACACAGGAAGTCCTCCCCGGGTGTAATGATGCCACATTTGGTTGCGATGGCACGGGCGGTGTTAATGTTGTCTCCAGTAACCATACGTACAGTGATGCCCGCACGCTGGCACTTCGTAATAGCCTCAGGTACCTGGAAGAGAGTCAGAAAGGTCAGAGAGTCCAGAAGGTCACAGAAACTCATTAGCTTGTTTTCCTGATTTATCCATCGGTCTAAAGATGCTTTTGATGAGAGGATCCAAGGACGTACGCTCATCAAACCAAGTCAGACGCTGTGTTATTGTGAGTTTTGTGGTTTATTTAGCTGAAATGATGCATGATAAAACAGACACAGGCGCCAACATGTGGGATTAGACTCATCTTGCAACAGCAGCAGCAGGTTTTATCTGAGATCCCACTGTTGCTGTTCTTATCCTAATCTCTAGTCCTCATTCATCTCAGAACACAGAGTGAATAAAAAGAGATACAGTATAGTCGGACCTCTGTGAGGAGCTCATGGCGATATGACCGTCAACTGACAATCAGAAATCTGTTGGACACTTCCCCCCTGCTCATCAGGTGGCTCAACTGGCATTTGATGGAAACCTACAGGGGTTCTGTGTTTCCTTACAGATACACACACATCGTATGTGTGTCATGCAGAGGGGAGCCTTGACCTGAGTAAAGGAGTGAAGAGGTTGGATGACCAGTCTTTAGATTTCTTCATATGTTAAAGTGGATAATAAACAGACATATAATATAATATGCTGAGGCCCCCAAAACAGCATTAGCTTATAGCCGAGGCCCCCCTTTAAAAGAGGTCTTTAAAAGCCTATTGACAATACCATACAGTACAATAAGGTTTTGATATGTTATATATTCCTATAAAGTATATTTTATAATAATACACATATTAAAGAGGTAATAATTGCATTTTATGTAATTCTTCCCCAGCCCCCACTCTGAAAAACACTGTCTGCCTGATGGTAACTGCTCATATTCACAGGTCTTCATCATTCACTCCTTACTGGACATAGTGACTATTTTATGCAATTTGTTTTTTATTATTTACCAACAATGAAAAATACCAGGCAATAAAACATAAAGTAAAAATGCTCTCTGCAACGGATCGATAGAAGAGGGTCAATATGTGTCTGTCGACTTTAAACTGGCTCGGTTTATGCATGAAATACATAACGCTGCAGACCATAGAGACATAGACATACTCGTTAGAATAAGAACTGTAAGAATAATTTAATGCCTAAAATAAAAAAGCTAAAATATTCTAAAGAGTCCTGTGTCCATCACATCACAGGTCGTGTAGAGATAAATGTTGAGCTGCTGACTGACTCCTGCTGCTCTTCGGTTATTTCCATCCTGTCTGTGATCTTTGTGCTCTGACATTAAAGCAGCAGGCAGCACTGATGCTTTCTGGGCTTCATTACAGGCTTCATTTAACACCTCACAGCATCCAGACTCTCTGCACACCTGAACAGGACTCACTTAAGGCTTTATATCAGGAAAATACTGTCTGACTATTGAATGTTTTTACCCTGACATTTATCCTCATAACAGAATACTACAATATAATTAGACTGTCAGATCAGTTCAGTTACACTCTTCATGTGGAGATAAAGATGTGAACTATATGTTCTTTCAGGAATAAGCTGAACTTCATTGACACTGCTTTATATCTACAGTGCATGGAGGACATTTCAAACTGAACCCAACTCAATCTTTTATGACTGAAAACTGTTTTTAACCCAACTGCAGAGCCACTGACGCCAGATCAAGTGAACAACACGAGTACAATACCGTGAATGAGAAATTACTGCATGAAAGTGTGCGCCATTATGCTCATTTGTAAGATTCATGACACTGTCACAGACAAAAGACAGAGAGGGATTGTGGAGGCAGTGGGATGCAGCCTGGGGGATTTCCTTAGACTTGCATGCTTTTCATTCCACCTTAAAGCATAGAGATTTAGAACAGATAGAAACTCTTTGATCCCTTTTCATTTGTGCAGCGACTACAGAGACTGCTTTGTGTCCATCGGTAATTACACAGCGTACAAAAATTCTTGTACCTTTTCTGTTCAACATCTACATGCTACCACTAGCACAGATTAAAGGAAACAACATTACCATAATAATGCAGAGCACACAGATTTATATAACAATATTACCAGGTCACGTACCAGCACTAATTAAGAGCACTGAACAAAATGATCATTCTATGTGACTTTTAATTGTTCTTCTTTGGGTTCAAAAGCTGTGATCTGTAAGAGTTTTTGGACCCAAAGAAAAACAATCAAAGTCAGTACAGTCTCTAACATTAAAGATCAAAAACCAGGCCAGAAACATTCAAAAACAGCCTACCATCACCTTAATCATTACATATATATATATATTATGCATATATATTATGCAGGTAGCAATTTATGGCTCTGGTTAAACAAAAGGTCCATTTCTGGGTCAGTGTTAATTTCAACCAAACCAGCGCTGGTGATTGTTAAAAATACTGTGGAAAGACTAGTTTTGGTCTTGAGTTTTATTTAGTTTTTTTGTGTTTTGTATGATTACTCGCAGGTAATATTACTGGTTTTGTCCATGGAGTCTGGTGGGCCGTAGCAACCATTTGTTAGCAGTCTAGTGTGACTTCTACTATCAGTTAATTTTGTATTATTCTGCCATATTCTGCCATATTGGCCCCATATTCTGCCGTATTGGCCTTAAAAAAAATTATAGTGTCTACAGTACGTCTGCAGACAGACAGAGCAATCATTGCCAGATCAACTCTATTCTTATGGGGATGAACTGATGACGAAATACGATAATGACATTCCAATATTGTCGTCAACGCCCCTGCTTCCCAGACATAAACCTAAGCCAGCATCAGGTGTTAATTATAGGAAGTGTTTTCAGGCTCTCTGTACCTCAGGTCTGACGGGGTCCTCGATTCCAACCACAACAATGCAGGTCAGGTCATTCAGGATGTCGTTCTCGGTTTCCCAGTCCGGCTCTCCAGCCTCGGCCGGAAAGTCTCTGTAAGCCACGCAGATGGTCCTTAGCCCGTCACACGCCATCGGCTCAATCACCTTACGCACCATTTCGTCACGGTCCTTCGGCTTGAAGATGCGAGGTTGACCCTGGGCATCCAATATACGCGAGCATCTGGGAGAGGAGAGAAGAAAAGAGGAGAGGAAAGGAGAGGAGAGGAGAGGAAGGGGAGGGAGATCATTAGGTGAAAAATGCCACGCATTACCTTGTTCTGTATTTATTTATTTTAGTTTATTTGAGCTCCTTTCTTACTTTCTCAGGACGATCTCTGACGCGCCTTTGCTGTACATGCGGTAACCTCCATCAGCGTTCTTCAACACTGTGCTCATGGACTTGCGTGACGAGTTAAAGGTGTAAACCTTGTACATTTTCTCTTCGGGGACCTCGTCTCTGATTGGCTGGTAGTCCCTCTTCAGTTCCAGCACCATGCCCAGCAGAGCGCACTCGGTCTTGTTGCCCACGTGGCGGGGCAGGCCGCCTTCTTTCTCCGGAGGCTGAGAAAAGGGAAAAGGTTTGGATGTGATGTTAAAGTTTAAAATCAGTTTTGTGTTATCACAGACAATGAGGAGCACTACTTCAGTATGTACAGCGGTTCAGTTAGGTTTGATTTTAATGTACATTTACTCACACAAACACTTGTCTGAGTCTATTTTTTGTGGATCTGTTTTTTATTACATTTGGGAAAGTTTACCCAACTCTAGCCAGACTTATTGCCCGAGTTAGCATTACGTTAACCAAAAACTCCTGTTCCTCCTCGTCCTCAACGCCAAAACACTACTATAAAATTTTAATGATGAATCCGCCACAGCTTTCAGTGTAAACTGCTAGAATGGAAAGATTGATGATGATCTGTGTCTACTCTCCTAAAAAGAGGACATTTTTTCCGGTCCTCACTTCTTCAAAGGGCTGTTTCAGACCAGGTTTTAGGGTTATGGTTAAAATTAGGTTCATGTTTGCGTTGTGGTTACGTGTAACTGTGACAGTGAAGGTCTTACCAGGATCTTGGTGGTGTACGCCGAGTTGATGGCGATGCTGTTGACCATAATCTCCAGAGTCTCTGGTTTGATGGCGTCCGGCTCTGGCACCGTTTTGTAGTGCGTGTCACCGACGTACGCCTGCACCACCGTCATGCGGTTCATGGTCAATGTGCCCGTCTTGTCTGAGCAGATGGCTGTTGCATTGCCCATCGTCTCGCAAGCGTCCAGGTGACGCACCAAGTTATTATCCTTCATCATTTTCTAAAGTACGGAGAACAAGGTTAGAGGCTGAGGTTTGATTTTAGACGTAGTTTTGGAAACAAAATGACCTGGCCTTAAAGTTAATATAATGAACTCCACCATCCTTGCTTACTTTGACAGAATAGGCCAGAGAGATGGTGACGGCGAGCGGCAGCCCCTCAGGAACCGCCACCACCAGCACCGTCACACCAATAATGAAGAACTTGACGAAGTACTGGATGTAGATCGGGGTGCACTCGGCCACCCAGGTCCGACCCTGGACGGCAAACGTGTCAATCACAAAGTAGAGGATGAGGATGATGACGGTCACAGCAGACATGATCAGACCTGGTTACAATGAGCAGAACAAGCAGAGTTCAAACACAAGCCACCTGTTTCCACACATTTTATTACAGCATAAAAAATGTAGAATAAATAAAGCAATAGAAACTCATATTTGTCAAACTCAGTAAAGATGTTATTTTGATCACTTCCTGTATTAAAAAACTTTGACAGACACTCTCCCTGGTTTTCTTCTGCTCTCTTTTCATGTTTTCTGTATATATTTATTATCAAATAAAAGTAACAAATACATTTTTAAAAAATTTACAAAACAAAAGCTTGCAAAAACTTTTCAGTCTTTAATGTCTCATGTAATTGGGCTTTTATTTTTCGGGCTGCAACATTTGAACCCGTTTCATTGGTTTATAAAACACACTGAAATCACCGTAGAATTATGGTTAATCTACAACCAATTATTGTTGGTATTATTGGTTTATATTTCACCAAGGAGGCGAGGTCTGAAACAAAAGGTAAAAACAGGCATCTGCACTTAACAATACAATAGGAAAAAAGGAAAAAAACTTTTTTAACCATTAACCACTGCACACTGGAATGACGATGAAATACTGCGATTTATTCGGAGCGAACAATGCGTTTCACCTGCAGCTTCCTCAGGTTCGCTCAGCCAAGGAATCTGAAGACGCTACAGGTGAAACACGTTGTTCTCTCCTTTTAAATCAATGTAAAGTCATCCTAGTAAACAGTGGTTAATTTTGTCGTCCACCTGGCCGCTGTTGGCAGGTCATGGGGAGTTTATTTTTATTTTTCTAAGTTTGTAAGTAACATCCTGAATGTAAAATCAGAAACAGGTGAAACTGAAAGATCCACAGCTTGTGTTTTTCTGCTTCAACTCTCCTGTCAGTCACCTCGTGTCTATTTCTGTCCTGTAATGAGGGGCAGTTTATTACCGAAGCTGGTCTGTCCTGAAAGTCCCTCAGTGTATTAAGGTCAATTGAAATGACACAGAAAATACCGAGATGAATTATGTTCCCAATAAAACATCTATCCAATAAAACTGAGTGCATTCTGACCCTCAGTCTCTCCGTCCCCTCACTGCCTGATCACTTTGTATGCTATTAAAGGAAGAGTCCCACATTTCTGGAAATCCTCGTTCTTTGTCTTCTGTCAGATAAGAAGACGGGTCAGGGAAGTTTATTCTCTGCACGTCCAGTACAGAGTTCAGGATGTGTTAACCTTAGCTTAGCAAAAAGACTGGAAGCAGGTGGAAACTTGCTAGCCTAGCTCCATTAAAATAGAAAGAAACCCACCTTCTACCAACTCCCCAAAGCTGTTCTGGTTTATATGCTGTATTGTGTTAGCAAACGAGCTATTCCACCCTGCAGTCAGCTGGGTTTTAGATAACAGTGGAGTTAAGACAGAGCTCACACCTTAGCCAACCACAATGAAGAAAGATTTTCTTAAAATAACAGATAAAAAAAAAAGGAGTTTAATCAAGGCGTGACCAGTGACTTGACATCTGCATGTTAGTATTGTCACTGCGTGCATGTTAGCGTGTCGCTCAAAGCATCGCTGCAGACTCTTAGTTCTGTTTAGATGAGCTGAGGGGGAGCATCCAGGCAGAATGTCAGGATGTACTTACTCTTTACATCCTGTCCTAAGACCCATCATTCTACAAGCAATAAAAACAATAAGTAAGTCCTATGTGTTTGAGTCCCCTTAATTATAATATACCTGCAAGCTTTCTTTCATATTGTCTAGTAGACTCGGTTGCTTTATTTTCTTAATGCAGTTTGTTTTTAAATGTGTTTACCTTTTGGAGTTGTAGGAAGGTGCTTTTTTAAATTTCTTAAAGCTAAGCTAAAGGACCTATTTCTGTACTTGACATACAGACATAAAACAGATATAATGAGTGTGTGTGTGTGTGTGTGTGTGTGTGTGTGTGTGTGTGTGTGTGTGTGTGTGTGTGTGTGTGTGTGTGTGTGTGTGTGTGTGTTCCTCACCAGCCTTCCCGATCTGTACAGCCAGCTTGGTCAGTTTGCCCTGCAGCACCGACTTCTCCTTCTTGGTCACGTTGACCTTCTTCACCGGTTTGGCCTCCTCTTTCTCCTCCTTCTCCTCTGACTCTGCGGCCTCTTCGCTCTTCAGCGGCTGGATCTCCAGGGCAATGCCATCCTCGGTTTTGGCTGGGGAGGAGCAGGGGTAAGGTTGTGGTTGGGGGCAGGGGTGGATGGGTAAAAGGAGGAGGAGGAGGAGGAGGAGGAGGAGGAGGCAGGTTTTAAGGGGTCAATGTAGTGATGAGAGGGAGAGTGAGGGCCAGTGTGGAGAGTAAAGAGAGATGAGAAGGAGGTTTAGGAGAGGTCAGGGAAAGGTTTGCAATGAGAAAGAGGAGAAGATGAAGGAGGGTGAGGAGGGAGAGAGAGGGAAGTATGGGACAGAGTGATGGATGGGATGGGGAAGAGTGTGAAGGAGGCAGATGGTTGTGTGTTTTTTTCAGAATGAGGATGGAAGAGAGGAAAGTCGGGATCGGAAGCAGAGGATGAGGGAAGGGTTGACAGAAGGTGAATGAATTAAATAAATAAATAATAATAAATTACAAAACAAAGCAAAACAAAAAGAAGCAGGGGGTCGGGGTTCAGGAGTGGTTTGGGGATGAAGGGTAGAGAAGCAGAGAAAACGTTACAGATTCAGTAAAGAGGAAAAGCTGAAAACGACCGGACGCGTTTTCTCAGAGATCAGAAAAAGGCCTCTGAATCTTTATCATTAACACGGTAACCTTTGGCTGAATGCAGAGGGTAGCATTTCATCAATTTATGATCACAGAACATTCATGAAAAGGTCCAGGTAGCTTTCAGAGAGTGTCACAAACAAGTTGGGAGCAGCAGTTCGTAATGAAGAGCAGCAGACAGAGAACAGAGAACAGCAGATACAACAGAGAGGATTTAACCAGAGGCTGTCAATCACACACACGCACACACTGTGTTTGTTTCACATCCAAGCTCATAGTTTGGAACGAGGCTGAGTTCTGAAGTCTGACATGGAGTCTGGTTTCACGTCCTGCTCGGCGGCTCTGCTCCTCATTTGCATAAACAAACTGTGTATTTGCATTTCACTTTATCAGCTGGGATCCTGTTTGGACTGTAGTATTGTACGTGGAGCTTTCTGATCTGTTTGAGTTTTCACTGAATTCAGCTGCACTCCCTCCATCCACTGCTGTTTGTTTCATACCGAAGAAATGTGAGCAGGTGATGAATGGAAACAGAACAGATCTACACTAAACTGACACACTGAGTGTTGTGCTGTTTGTCCTCATGAACAACTGAGCTGACAACACTGACTGGCTGACAACCTAATTCCTTTGTTAGGTTTTTAAACATTAAAAACTGGAAATGTTCTAATTGGGTCGTTAAATTAAATACACAAATGTTCAAACGTCGTCCATCAGCCAACTGTATTTTACTATATTTAAACCCTACTGGGGAGTCACTGCTGGTAACAATGTCAACATCACTTCTGGAACCAACAATACCAACAGATCATGGACATAAAGCAGGTTTAGATTCCTGGATGACCAAGTTTCTAATTAACAAGAGAAACTTCAGGTTTTCACTGCAAAACTCTGCCCATCTAAAACCTAATATAATTCATATAAAATTATTATAAAATTCAAAATGTCTGTTAGAGAATCTGTTCTTATTTGTTCTATTTTTATCGCCTACTGAGTTGTCAAGTAATAAAGCCTGTTGGGTCAGCTAAGTCCAACTATTGAGATCAATTCTATTCAGTTTGGACAGTTTGGGAACCACGCAGTCCTTATTGTAGAATAATTTGGCCTGGGTGTTTGACACTGCTAATTTCACATTTTTGTCTGCTGATTTCAAATCTAATCAACGCACACCACCTAATGAACTGGTGGTATCCTTCAAGTTAAAACGAGGGATGTTTTGTACACTAGTTTTAACACTCTTACTAGCAAACCTCACGGAAAATGTAAGAGAGATTTAGGATAAGGACACTAAAATTGAATGCTGTTGCATTGTCTCTAAAAAAGATGACCAATATTTCCTCCCAGGTCACAGTAGAACACAAGCAGGGAGTATCTCTTTAATGTTTAGTAATGTGGTTTTTGGATTTGGTTATTATCACTGCCTCGCTTGGAGCTTCATTAGTTTCCTAATGAGAAGTTCCCCACACAGAAGTTGGCTAAAAGGGAAGTTATTTCATGGCAGCATGACCTCAACATGACATTTAGACATTCTGAATGTGGGGATGAGTCTGTGTCAAACCAGGAAGCTGTGGAGCTTTATGCACATGGTCCACTCTGAAGACAAGCCACAACATAGAACTAACTGACACAGCTGCACATGAACAGGACTGAGACCCACTGACCAACCACAGAACTGTAAACAGGCGCAGCACTGAACCATGGGAGAGCGCACGGCGGGCAGAGGGGAGGGGGTGTCTGACAATCAAAACGAAAGCAAGTCAAAAAACAGAAGACAAACTCAAAGGATCACCCCAGAAAACAAAAAAACGACAGCGATGCAGAACCACGACAGAGAGAGACAGGAGGAGGTAGAGGAGGCTGCAGAGCTGTGGAGGCTGCAGGAGACTTCAGCAAGACATAAAAATAACAGAGAAGAGGGAGAGAGTCAAACAGTGATTACAAGACAACATGAAGTCCTGAGCAACACCCTGCAAGGAGGCAACAGTGAGAGAGATAAAAGGAATCAAAAGGCAAAAAGAAAAGAAACTTAAGATACACAAAACAGAACAGACGACAGCCCACAGCCCACTAATACTGCAAGGGTGCAACTCCCACGCACACTGACAGCCTCGCTTCAGCCAAAAAAAACATCACGGCACTTTTCGGTTCAGTTAGTTTTTCTCAACAGTGTCAACAGAAAGTCACATTCATCAGAATTCAGAGTGTAATAAATGTGTTGAAATGCGTGATGGGAAAACTAAACATGTAGCCTCCACAAATTCTCCAATATAACGAGGCCTTAACTTTTTTTTTTTTAGCGCCGTCTGCAAAACTCAACAATTCTTGCAAATGTTTGACATTAATAGCCTTCCAGCTGCTCAAAACACAAATCCCTGCTTCCTCTGGTAGGTGGTTGGTTTATGATGTGAAACATCTACAGGAAGTGTTGAGTTTAATTTATGTTTATTTAACATTGTTGGGAAAAAAAAAAAAAACAACAAAGAGAAATAGAGGTGATTGAGTGAATGAAAACACTACTGGTGCTAAAAAAAGCAGCAGAGCGGTTGTGAGTATGACGTGACTCTGTTGCTGTACTAATTCATTTTTAGAAGCATCCACTGCTCCTACTTTAATTTGTTGTAACTCAATACTTCTATTTCCACATGTTGTCTTGATGAATTCAGTATAATGGGCATTTCCGCAGCACTAATTCCATCAGTACAACAACAGAGCATCAATGCACCACACTGTTGCTCTTAGAGTTGGGTGGTTGTTTCTATTTTCATATCGTCCTATCATGGCTACTCAAGATTGGCAATATGCCGAGTCTATAACCAGGGGATGCGGGAGTGGGAGAGCTACATCATAGCACATCAGTCAAATGTTTGCATGGACGACTGTAAATCCAATAGCCACATCTATAAGCCATCACAAAAATGACAGTTACCAACATAAACCATGTTATGAACAGACACAAAAGGTAACATTAGCATATTAGGACATAAAAAATGTTGCATTTTGCAACATAAAAACTTCTCAGCCAGCATTCGGCCAAGGCATGATGGGAAATGTGGGCTGTCGCTAGGCGAGAGTCTGTTGGTTTACAAACCGGAGCTGGCTTTGTCTGGCTTAAACTGCAAAATGTGGATAAATATTTTTATTCAGTGCCTGTTTATTGGACATCAACTTCAAATTTACATGTGTGTTGTTGTAAAAAAAAAAAAAAGACTTGAAGCGTAAATAAACACTTCAGCTTGCGGTTACACCCGTGAGACACAACTTAAGGCTGCATGGAGCCGGTGCACTGCAGACTATGTGGTTGCGCTTGGCGTGACATTACCAAAGCATCATGGTCTGCGTAACATTATAATCTTATCTTTATCACAATCCAAACCACATAACGTTAACAACTCAAATGGAGTGCAGAGCCAAGTTTTGGTGAGCAGGCATATGGAGAACAGATATTCAGGGTGTCGGATCCAGGAAAAAGAGATGGCAAACTGGTTTGTAATTAAGGATTAAAAATGAACTTGTCTCTTGTGCTGATTAACGGGGCTCAGCAGGCGGACATGCTGCTCCAGCAGAAACATCTCTAAACGCACAGAACGGCACAGATTCTAGAGATTATTAGTGTAACATCTTAGTTCTCATTGTAGGTTAATTAAAATGTAATAACGGTGTAGGAAAACCAATTGCCAATCATCCCAACCTCGTTGCTCTCACTTTCTTTTTTTTTAACAGTAATACCGTTTTCATTCACTAATTATATCCAGTTGCTTCTACTTTGCTGTTTTTTCTCTCGCTGTTGAGTTACTGTCAATTAAACTTGCAGCACAAATGTTTCACTTTAAAAGCTTTCGGCAGCTCAAAAGCCATTGTTTCCCCTAAAGCTTAAACAATTAGTTGATTAATGAACTAGCCCATCTATGGAAAATTAATTGTTTAAGTGATATTTATAGCATACACTGCCTAGTTCTAGCTTCTCATTGGTGAGGCTTTGTTGCTTTTTTGTCTTATGTGACAGTAGACAGAACATATTCAGGTTTTAGGTTGTCGGCTGGAGAAAAAAAAGCAATTTTGAGAATGTCAAATTAGGCTTTAAGAAAGTGTGAAGGGAAGATTAATCGTCAATGAAAATAATCCTCATTTGCAGCCCTAATATTCCCCTTTTCTCAGGAAGATTTCAGTGAAACATCTGTAGGAAGCGTTAAAATTCACTGAAAGTCTCTTTGATGATCTCTTTGTGATGGAAAAAAAACATCAAAGTTGAAGCGTTTGAAGGTGTCAGAAAGGTATCCATCCCTAGTGAGTTTAATTTAAAGGAAAGGAGAATTTTTGGCCACCCAAGGAGCAGAAGAACTCCACCATAAGCTGACACAATTCTGACACATTATAAAGTGCAAACAGCTGCCTCCTTCCTCATCCAGCAGACACAAATAAACATCATCATCTCATTGGAGTCGTGTGAAAACAGCTCCTGGCTGCTGATAGTGGACGAGAGCGCTGGAATTAAAACCATACAGTAATGTGCTGCGAAACCAAAACTAGGAGCTAAAAAGGCCAATAAGCTCAAAGGAGCTGCAGAGTTGGTGAGAACTGTCTGTGGGCTCAAACTCTAAACTCTAAACTAGTCCATACGACTGAAGGTGTTTGTACAGATTTTGTTCTCTATCTGTTTTTAGTGTAGGTCACCCGCGACTGCTGTTCTGTGAATTATTTGTGTGCAAAAGTGTGATGAGCGTCCAAGAGCAAAGAGTGTGTGTTTCTGTGTACATCAAGAAGCATTCTGTCTGCAGCAGATGCTCAAACCGTGGGAGGTCGGGAGGAGGGGAGGTGTGTGTGTGTGTGTACGTGTGTGAGAGATTGTGTGTGTGTCTTAGTGTTGTGACAGCTTGCAGAGGAAGTTGGACATGTGTTGGATCACACGGGACATAGAGGACGGTTGGCTGGTCGAGTTTGGAGGTTGGAGCGGTGACTTCGGCAACACAAACACATAGTCATCAAATCCATGAAATATTAAATATTTAAAAAGGCATTGAGGGAGAGCACGATTTCAACACTGCGTCGACACCTTAGAGGTCAGACTGGTATGTGAGAGTGACCCTCACTGATGGATTAAATTTGTGTCTCAATTCTCAGACTGTAATAGGACATTTTGAGGGCAAAGCACATAAATTACATTTTGTGGTCTAAATTATTATCACTCAAAGAATAATTGAATTTGAGGCAACTCAAATATATTTTGTATTATATTATCAACATATGCACTCAATGATAACTCGGTTTTACACTTTTACATTACATATTTATGTTCTCTCAAATTACATTATGCTTTGAATCAGAATTTCTCTACAAAATGTAATTTATGTTGTTGCAAAAACTCTTTCTGTGCACAAAATGTCCCAACAAACTCCGAATTTAAAGCACAAATATAACCCCCTTGTCAACCTATGGCCGTTACCATGACAACTGTGGACGCTGTGATTGGCTGTCAAAGACTTGAAGGTTGAGAGTTGCACCCTTTTACAGGTAAAGCAAGGCGAGAGAACGTCCCCCTTTATACAGGAGAGAGAGAGAGAGAGAGAGAGAGAGAGAGAGAGAGAGAGATGGACTGGACACTCCCCTCCCGCCGCTGGGTGGAGGGTGAGCAGGGGGTGAGTAACAGGGAGGATGAAGGGACAGAGAGGGACAGATGGATGAATGGAGGGGTTACCTTTGTTGCGATTTTCGGGGGGTCCTTGTTTTTTACCTGTTCGGACAGAGAGAGAGGGCGGAATGCTGATAAGATGGCTCAAAGGAAAAATAAGATCAAATCAAACTGAGGGAGAACACAAAGTTCAAACTGATAGAAACCCACAGGTGTGTGTGTGTGTCGTGTGTGTTGTGGGCAGGAATGGACCAATCAGAGGAGAGAGACGCACCACTTCCTGCTGCGGAGAACCAACAGCCACAATTTTTTAAATCTAATCAACTTCTCAATAATCTAAATAAATCAAAATGTAGATTCAGAAATTCAACTGACTGTTAAACAATAATGTATTAAACAAATATACATTATTGGTTTGGTATAACATAATGCTCTGTGTTCTTGGGCAGTTACACATACTAGCATACTGTTTACATTTTAGATTTGTTCATGTTGTACATACAGTTACACTGATTAGAGCACATACTGTTCATGTACACACTCTATAACTGTTCATACTTTCTGGTTGGACGATAAACTGTATTTCATTGTACTGGTACCTCATCTGTGCAATGACGTTAAGGTTTTAATCCACTCTGAATTTGACTTTACATTGGTAAAACAATCCATTTCAACAAACTCACATACTTGAAATCACATTTGTCATTGTCGCAGCCCAAAACGATTTAGCCGTTTTAGATTTTTTTGTAAACTGTTAACCACACTGGGGCCGTGGTTCGAGGAATGGAAATGTTTATTCTTTTGGGTTGGTTGGTCCACCAGTTTGGTTTAGACTGAAATATTTCAACAACTATTTGATGGATTGCTATGAAATACAGGATTAATTATTTTGGTGATACCCTGACTTTAATACATTCACTATTTTAGTTTATAACCAAATATCTGCAAAAACAATGAAGTTTGAGCAGCCTGAAGGGTTAACGTTTTTAGTTTTTGGGTCACCCTGGAGGCTTGTGGTTAAGGTGTTCACAACTTCAAGTTCCAGTCTAACAGGGGACTATTGCTGCATTCCTAATTTTCTTTGTGTTAACTTTATAATAAAAGGCACCATGGTTTGATTTTATTTGATCTAAGCTCCTAACAACAATGATTCTTAACAAGATCGTTATAGGTGGAAAGAAAGTGCAGATTAGTCAACTTTGCAATTACTCTTCCAACTTAAACACTTTTTGTAAAAATACTGTTCAAACTACAAGTTCAAACAATGTGTGGACTCATTTAGGTTGTGTTAGTTGTTGAAGTGACTCTGATGGATTTGGTTTCCTTGCTTCACTGCAGATATCTGAACTCTGACCTTGACGGCTGTTTGCATATCTACATAACATCTGTTATTGATCCTTGTCTGCTTGTCACACTTGATCAGTTATGTGACAGTATGTGACAGGTGCATTTTCCTCCTCAGGGACATTAACTTCCTGGTGTTCTCATAATCTCTCTGCTTTTATTGTGTAAGGAGGTGTGGCAAGGTCAAAGCCAACATGAACACACACACACACACACACACACACACACACACACACACACACACACACACACACACACAGACACACACACAGCTCTTTGTTATTCAGCGGGTGGTTTGTGATTGATGACAGAGACTGAATTGCTGCAAGTGTGTGTGCATCTTTGTGTGTGTGCATCTGTGTTTGCACATACTGAAGGCTCTTATGCTTGTAAGATAACCAATGGGTGTGACTTTACATGAATGCATGAGTGTGTGTATGTGTGTGTACTGTGGGTGGATGCAGCCATTTGTGACAGTGAAGTCACATACACACATACAGAAAGCAGTGCTTTCCTGTAAGTGTTCTTGTATTTCTTTCTTTGTGAGGACCCATTGAATTTTCCAAGTTAGGTAGGTGTGGACAATTTTAAAAGCGGGGTAAATTTAGGAAAGTGGGGACATATTGTCCAGTCCTCACTTTTGTCAAAAGGTTTTTGAGAGTTCGGGCCGGGTTTAGGATTAAGGTTATGGTTAGGGGCTAAGGAATCTATTTTGTAAGTGAGGACCCTCACAAGCGTAGAAATACAGACACATATATATGAGATGTGAATCTAAATGCTCTCTTCTCTCTTCATTTTCAGTTTAATTTCAAGAGTCCAAACAATTGTCTTGTGGTTCTCCTCATTAGGAACTTGTTACTGTTTTGGATTTTAAAATCAGTAACTGGAGGCCGAAATGTAAACCTGAGCGTCTCTCTCCACTGAGCTGGTACATTCAGCCAGTTCACAATGAATGCTTGACAAACTCAAACTTTAGCCAATAAAACAAATGATCAGACAAAAACAAACTCAAAAAAAGACATGGGTAAAAGGGGGTTAGCATGATCACAAGCAAATCAAAAGCAATAGAGACCGACTGCAGAAGCCTGTTGGTTTACATCAAACTGCTCTGTGATAGTACGAGGATCATCTGGACTTTGGCTTTTGAAGGGTTCCACTTCAAAAAGCAACTGTATATAAACAGAGGAAGGTACGTTTTGCATTTTTAACCAACATTGCATCACTGTCAAATCAATACCTCAGTGTAGTGGCCATAAAATAGATGAATAAATGAGACCACAATGTAGTGTTTATTCAGGTGACCAACCAGAAAGATTTACTGAATTTTGATGGATTATTTTGTCCTTTTTAAGGTCTGTGAGGAAACACATTTCAAAGAGTCGACTGACTGAAATGCTCACAATGATGCATTCATTTGTAAGTGTGCAACCAACAACTGATCACTGTTGCTATGCCTGTCAAGCTCTCATCCAGCAATTATTTTGTTTACAATGATCGTGGCAGATTAACCATTAAATGTATTATTTAAACAATTTTGAAAAGCCTTTTGTTTACTTCTGTCAACAATTTCAGTCAGAAATACACAAAAGCAACCTCCCACAACAATTTCCCTGAAATAACAAATTAACTGGCAGGTTTCATCAGTTAACTAACTGACTTTTTTAACGTTTCCAACTATTCTTTAAAAACAACAACCCTGTGAAAGTGCGTTTATTGGCCACATACAGATTATGATAACTCAGCATCATATTACGATGCAAAACAAACCGAAGTTGACACTAACAGGTTCCAGGTATATTTGTTTCAGGCGCAGCCTTGACTCCAACTGAAGGTCATAAGCTAGTTAACCAGGCATGCTAACATTAGCAGCTTACGTTGAGTACAAAGAACACCATCATACAACTCTTTGGATGCAGTATTCTCTTACTATAACGCCATGCACAAAGCTTCAGCAGAAGAAATCCAAACACTGCCTTGTTATGTTTGCTTTAGCTATGATTGGAAATCAATGTTTGTGTTTGTAGAACTGTTAATTAGGACATGTGAAAGTTTTGCAATTGTACACATCCCTGTTGATCGGCTATTTAATCTCACATTAGTTGTGTTTAGTTGTTGTTCAGCTGATATGATCACTGCAGTTGAACTCATCCGTTGTCTCATTTATTCACTAATGATGCTTTTGTGATCAGATTGAAGCTCACTAATGTTAAAATATTACAGTTAGACCCTTCAAACAGCTCTGCTGTAATCAGCTCAGACTGGATGAACTCTACCTGCTGACAGAGTCAGCTCGTACGACGGGAGACTTCAAATCAACACCAGCTGATAAAAACGTGCAAATATTTCCAATCTGCACTGTTCAAACAGTAGAGTAGAAATATTCAGAAGCAGATAAGGTGATAGTCTTTCTAACCGAACTTTCCTCCCAACACTTGACCCACTTGATGACCTTCAACACTTCAACATGAGTTGTGTTTTGAGACGTGTGACAGGCTTTCTCTCGTGTCTTACTTTTCTTGACCTTCTTCTCTTCGTCGCTCTCGCTGGCGCCCAGCAGAGTAAAGATGATACCAGTTTGAGAGTTGAGGCCAACAGCTGACACCACCATCCTGCCTGATCCCTCCATAACATGAGTCCCTAAGGAAAGATTCAAAAAGCTTGGAGTCACAACAAGAACTTGGTTTTTAACAGTCACTGTGTTATTGTCTTTTCTTTATCATTTCATCTATATAACCTTCTCTTCAGCTGCATCACTGAATACGTTTTTAACACCTGTTTGCACTTTGTTATACTATCTTAGCCATAGTTTTTTAATCTGACAGTATGTTACATCTTGGTGGTGTCATCAGACAACAAACATATATGCCATGCCTATATATGTTTCTATGCTGATGACACAAAGCTTTATGTGGATGAATCTCCGGATGACACAGGATCAATTATTGCTTCTTTTAGATGTACGTTTTATATATTAGTGCCTGGATGTCACAAAACATTTTACATCTCAGTTTATATAAAAAATAAAGATTTTTTGATGAAAATTGACAAGACTTGCTTTTCCTCTTTTTGTTGTTCTGAGACACAAGTGATTTTACACTAACATAAGACATATTAACAGGGTTGATATCTTCATGTGATTTTATGTATTTTTTTCCATATGCATTAGTCTCCAATTGTTTTACTGTTCATGTTTGCACTTTCTTATTAGCTTGCCAGTTGCCTGTAGAGCACCCTGAATTGCTCTAATCTGTATGTGAGGTGCAATACAAACATTTGCTTAATTGTCTTGATTGATTTTATCCTGATAGCTGGTTCGGTCTGATATGAATACATTGATTAATTACAAGCTCTGATTCCACATCCTGCTTCAGAGAATTTTCCTTCCAGACAAGAATCAAACAAAAACAGCCAATATGTTTGTTTAGGGGTAGTGAATATCATCAGAATCACTTCAAAGAAGAATCATCAGTGTTGGTCCAAGTCATGAGACTGTCAGGCACTCACCAGACAGCAGCATGGGGTCTTTCTCCAGAGACTTGCGGACCTGATCAGACTCTCCGGTGAGAGAACTCTCGTCAATCTTCAGGTCATTGCCTTGGATCAGGATACCATCAGCAGGCAGCAGGTCTCCTGCAGGAATAGAGATCAAAGGGTAAATTTCCATTTCTCAAAACAATTTCAAAAACAGGTTTTTGCTCTTTGCCACAGTACTCTCATACACTGATGAAGGCTGAACACCAAAGCATTACATTAACAAAACATTACAGGTTTGATATTTCAGTCTAGTGTCTGTGGTCTCGTACCATATTTGATCTGAGCAATGTCTCCCACCACAATCTCGGCCACAGGGATCTGGATGACCTGGCCTTTGCGGATGACGGTGAACTTTTGTTCCTGCTCGATACGACTCTGCAGCCCGCGGAACTGCTTCTCCTTGGACCAATCGTTGAAGGCCGTCACCAGGACCACAATGATGACTGAGAACAGGATAGCGGCACCCTCGATCCACCCAGCCTGGGCCTCGCCCTCATCCTCGGCACCACCTGAAACCTGGCCACATGCTGCGAGAAGACAAGGACATGTTGAATTTTAAACACTTTCACCACATAAACATGTGAAGTCCAAAAAAGGTCGGAGTATCTCTATCAAACAAACTTCTAATAGTTTTAATTTTAATACTCATTTAACATGGGCTTTACTTTTAATGTTGTCTTTTTTCTTTTGTATAATCCAGCCTAGGCTTATGTTTTGCCTATTACTGATAATTTTCGGGAAGTTGAACATCTTTTCTAAGGGACGTAGCTAGGGTTTCATGAACACCGGGGTCAAAATCATGATGAAAAAATAAACTAAATATGAATAAATATAAAATAACTATATGAATAAATAAATAAAGGATAAAGAAGAAGAAGTCCAATGTGGGGGATTTAGAGGGATCTAGCAGTATAGTTGCCGTTTACCAGTGTTGTTGTCTTTGCATAGATTTTTTTCTGAGAAAAAGAAAAAGACTGTCAGAGTCTCTGACTGTACTGACCTTCACTGTCACCCCCAGGTGGATGGTAGAAGGACAGGCCCAGTGAGATGATGGCAGCGATTTCCAGGATTATAAGTGTGACATCCTGCAGAGCCTCCCACACCAGCTGCAGGAACGTCTTGGCCTTCTTGGGGGGGATGAAGTTCTGGCCGTACGATGTGTGACGCTTCTCCAAATCAACGGGGTTACCCGACAGACCTGCAGACACGAACACAAGACATTAACAATCACGTAAATACAGAAAAATAAAAAGGGAATAACTGGAGTGGTTTTGCTTGATAAACAAAAGGTAAAAAAAGATTTTTGAAAATAATCCACAGCTAATGCTCTTTGACGAGAAAGAAAGATCCAAGGCCCTCTGAGTAAAATAAATAATACTCCACAGAGCTGACACCACCTAAATTTTGCTAGGAGCCTTCTTCAGGGTGTTAAAGTAAAATTCAAACACAAGACATGACAAATGCGTTTCAAGTGTGTGTGGATAAAAGCTAAGACGAAAGCGTTGCTACAGGGATCACACAGTACAGGCACGTACAGCATATAGATAATTTATAGAATGTATTATAATTTTATATAGACAGTACAATAAATTCAAAAATTGTTTTAAATTCAAGGAAAAATAACAGCCATAAAATAAAATAACTCCATTTCACATACTGGATGAGAAGAGAAATAGACTGAGCAGCAACAAGGCAGAAATGCTTATCTTTGTAGGTCTTTTATTTTCCCGGCACAAAAGGGTGAATAAATAACAACAAAAACATCAGTATTGGCAGAGTTGTTATTTTAAACATTGGGATCGGGCCAGAATTTCCCAATCGGTGCATCCCAAGTATTTCACATGTTGTATGTTTACTCTTGTGGACACTATACAATAAAAACCTTCAGTCTTGTCTCATTATTTTCTGATTTGTAAAAACGATCATTGAATTTGTTGTCCAATACTGTTTTCACTGTTTCACAATTGCTTTCAGTAAAAACCTCAAAGGCTAACTCCTGCCTTAAACCTTTATTGGAAGTGTGACTTGCTGGTTGTATAGCTGTGCACACAGTGACAGCAGAAGATGCACTATAGTTTTGCAACATGACCTACTTTTATTGTCATGAAAGACTGCAGTATTTTTTTTCCAGTGTTCATTTAAGTGCAGCAACACAAATCTGTTCCACTCAGAGAAATTATGTATTTTTGGATTCATTATTTCCTCCTTTCTGTCTGGAGATTCAGAAAAAAACACTGACCAAAAGGTCAGACAAATGGTGCGTTCAGGTGCACAGATTGGAAAAATAATTCCCATGATCAGAAGTTAATTATCAACAGCTGAAAGTACCATTTTCCAGGTTAGACTGATCCCTGTATGTTGTATCCAGCAGTGGTTCCCCACACACCTTTACTCGTAACTCCTTAAAATTACCTCTTGTCACCAGATCAATTTGTCTACAGGTTGTGATCAGCTCAACAAAGAGAAAAGATTTAGGCTTTATCTTTTCAAGACTTGACAAGCTAAGATGATACAGTAATTCAAGTTCATATCAGATCTTTACACATCAGTAATAGTTCTTCTGTAGTTTCCTCTTCCTGTCAATCATCCTCGAACCCTTCAGGTTTTCCTTGTGGCCCCTAGTGCGGGTCCCTGACCACAAGGCTGGAAAACACTGGTGTGTGTGTTGTCTGTGGTAGTGATCTAAAGTAGCCTGAACTGACCCGAACCCTCCCTGCTGTAACCACAATCTGCTGCTCCACCAGAGCCAAGATGCTCCACGTCAACACAACACCACCTGATCAGACCGACCCAGTCTGGATCAGCTGGCTCAAAGGAAAACACTGAAGACCTCCGTTAAACACTAATGTGGAAATCAAGTATCAAAAACATACATTCATGAATAAAATATAGACTGATTAATCAATAATTTATCAATAGTCATTAATAAATAAAACGAATTGATTAAACCAGTTAATTAATGACGATGTTTCTCCTCCTGTCTCCTGCAGAAAGATCTCTTACAATCCTCTGCTAACTGAAGACCAAACTATATATGTGAGTTATTGATTCCAGAGCTGTGACTGTCATTTTCCAGCAGTGACTCATATGTAACTGCTCATTCATTCTCCATATAAAGACAATAAAAACAAAGAGATTTCCCAGTCGACCAGGATGCTTACAAGGGGGCAGAGCGGGAGGGCTCCATCTTTAGAAAGCCTTACTGTTGATTTTTATTTAAAAATCTGGGTGAAAAATCATCATTTAAAAACACAATTTTCCGTTAATTTATTATACTCTATCAATAATGAAGGGTAATCAACAGACCGTGTTTATCTTCACTTTCTAATACCGGAGGATTTTCTGAACTGAGCTCATCACCACAGGACCTCATTAACTTTAACTTCAGTAAACAGTGTTTATTTGCAGCAACCTCTGGGTGCACAAGGGCGAGTCTGAATGAAAACTAGTTTAACTCATCTGCTTCTTTTTTAATAAATCTGGGTATTTTTCTGTAAAAACTGAAAATCTGTGACTTCCTCTGCACGGCTGTCTGGGCAGCAACATGGCTGCTGTGGATTCTTGGTGGAATTGGGAGATGTGCAGTGGAACGTGATCTGAATGTCAACAGACTGCACTCGCAGGCTTTCTCGTGAAGGACTCTGTAAGTCAGCACGAACATGAGCTTAGACATGTTTCTGTCTTAATATGTTTTAATAATGGCCTCTTATTCCTCTAATGATTCTCTCCTGACAGACTGAATGAAGAGTTCCCCTCTTCTTCATGACTTCTCTCTCTAGCTGTCTCTCTTTTCTTTGGATGCAGTAATCAGGTAAAACTACCAGATACTAATTTCTGCCATTTTGAGGTTATTACACAACCACAAGACACAGTTCTACTAGTTTCCTCTTTGCTCATGTCAGCTTAATTGGATGGCTTCAATGGTGGAATTATTTCACAATTGAATGCTAAATGTGACGTGGTGAGATTGGTGAGTAGATGAAGAGATGTGAATGAACATGAGGGAAAGTGAAATGAAATAAAGTGATCTTGGATGAGGTGAGATAAAAATTAGATGAGGTGAAGTGGCCTTAGGTAAAATAAGATGAGGTGAGATAAAGTAGCACATGAGATTATGTAAAGATTAGATGAGAAGAGACTCGGTGAATCGACATAAAATGCAATACGAGTCACCATATGTGAGATACAATAAGACAAGTGAGACGTAAGAACAGATGAGCTGGAACCGAGTGAGCTGAAGTGAGTCAATATTAGCTGAAGCAAAATGAAATTATTTGAGATGAGATCAGATTGGAACAAAGTGAAGTGACCATAGGTGAGGTTAGATGGGAGCAGATAAAGCAATGTCAGGTGATATGTCATATAAGACACTGTGAAACGAGGTAAAACCAGATGATATTACGTGATATGAGGTGAGCTGAGGCAATTGTAGGTAAGATGTGGTAGAGGAGATGAGGTAAACTTTTCTAACTAAAACTTAAGCTACAGTACACATTCCTCTGCCATAAAAGCAGCGGTTTATCTGACCGACAGTACAGCCTCCCAACATGTCTCGACTGAGTAGCTTTGAGGTTTACAGCAGAAGCACAAACTGCTTCACGATGAGCTGGTGCACAAACAGAGATTTTAAAAATACACCGGTTGTCAAAGTCATCTTCAGCAATGTTTCATCACGTTGTGGTTTAGTTCAAAGTTTGGTTTCATCATTTTAAAGCCAGTGATTGATGCTGAAAGTTCCTGTCACACTAAAATAAAGAATAACAGAATCACAGAGAACCCGTACTGTCTGTTTGATCGATATGAGTCTGTTTTTTTTCTGGTTCAATGTTGTGATTGTGACAGTGGGTTTCATCTGGTGCCTGGCGTCGGCCCGTTGTGTTGGTGAACGTCCCCGTGGAGATGCAGATTAAAGCTCTGAGATGATGTTCCAGTAACAGCAGAGCAGTCTGCTGCACACTCGCCTGTCACAGATGTTTATGAATTTCAGCTTCCAGCAGAAATAGACTTCATTGGTGCAAAAGGAGGTCTCTTCCAATTCACAGCATTATCAGCCACCATGCAGCTACATCCTTTACCACGCAGTTTTCACTTTCATTCATTCCCCCTCTGACAGATGAATCTATAGCAGCAGGTATTAATGTCCAGTCTCATTATTCAGATATTTTGATGTCCAGAACAAGGACAGAGGACTGTTTATTCTTCTCTTTCCTCCATGTTGTCAGAACTGCTTTCTGTTTCCTTTATAATCTTGTTGTTTATCCACCAGTCTTTCACTGCTTTCCCACAGCTGGACTAACAGTCACTGACACAAACACAAACAAGGGATGCTAATGTCCAATTTTAAGTAGTAAAACCATAAACTGTTAAAATACATTTCAAAGTTTTGTATGAACTTTAGTGTTCACACAGACCACAAAGCACACTTTAGAGGCAAAGCAATGGCATATAAAACCAATGCAAAGATGCAAGTGGATGCTAACAGTCCACCAAGGGCCACACATAAACGTTATTTCCCATAACAGAACAAACTGCAGTTTCTTTTTAGTGTGAGTCAGAGTCATAAATTCTGTTAGTCAAACATAAATTACATTTTAAACTTCATTGATTTGCAATCAAATTTAATCTGCAGCAATTATCCTGAAAATTTCCTTTATTTGAAAGGAACTTACAGTCTTGACCACTGATGCTCATGTTTATCTACAAGATTTCAGTAAAGACTTTATTGCTGAATGTGTGCGCTCCAGAACCCGACCAGCAGTTCCTGTCAGAGCCGGGCGGGCGTCCACGTTTCCACGTGATTTTAATCTGGTACAAAAAATGGCACATGGTCTTTTGTAGCCCTGATGGAGCCTGCGTGGCTATCTCCTGGATGCTTTTCATACCGCAGTCACAGATCCATTAATTCATTTTTTACACTCCCCCACAGACACACACAGAATTAGCCTCTCTCAGCCGCCCGCTAAGCTAATGTGCTAACACGTGTACCACACAGAAACTTTTACAAACAACTGTGAAGGTGTTTCTAGTGAGAGTTAAGGGCCATACCTTCTGTATGATCCTCCTGTGAGTCCTCTGCTGAGACAGAGGGCACTAACAGAATTTAAGGGTTTAGTTACGCTTTAATTATTAAATTAACTTGTAATGTAATAACATTTGGTTGAACAAAGATCAGTTCACAGAGAAGTGGCGTGGCGGAGAAGATTAAATTCTGCATGAAAACAGAAATGGCTATTTGTTCAATTGTGTCAATAAATAAACACATTTGCCAAATTTAAAAATGCAAGCACATACATTATTTCCTACAAATCCTCTTTTTTATATATTTATTATATAACTGTGTATCTTCATTGTAACTGTCTATAATCTGTTCTGCAACAAACATCTAACCGGACAGAACAGTATGTATGTATGTATGTATGTATGTATGTACGGTATATATGATATTATCTTTTGTCTTTCTAGCAAAGAAAATGCTTAAAAATGCACAATATACAGTGTAATAGCATGCAATGGTATGTGGGGACACAATGATCACGCACATGTATGTACAAACACACACGTACAAATCCTGAAATACTTTGAAACATGCAGAGTTTCATCTCCAGGTAGCTAGAAATTCCATGTGCTAGTCCTCCTTTGTCAGCCCAAACAAGTATTATTTTGTATGAAAATATAAATTATTTGAAAGGCATGTAACATTTGAAGGGTGAAGAGATATGTGATTCCAGCTATCTGTCTCACCCGAACTCCGCCTGCTGCTGTAGGCAATATTTTTTAATAATAATAAAACTGAGATTGGTGATTGTTTTATTTTGTTGTTGTTGTTGAGTAGACAGAAGCATCTTGGTTGATAAAAGAACATCAGATTTGGTGTATCTAACCCTCTGTGGGCTGCAGACCCCCTGCTACCCTCAAGAATGAGTCGATATAGCCAATAGATGGACGGACGGATTTGTATTTCTCAGCTTTTTTTTTTTTCAGATCTTTGGAAAGTCTGGAGAGGGTGAGATAGACTACAGACAGCACTTTATTTTAGTTCACAATAAGAGATGCGACTGAGTGAAAAATCTGAGCGTTGCATGTCTTGGTGTCTTTCTCCCTCTTGCTGATCGCTCAGAGGAGCATTCTGCTTCAACTGGCAAAGACATGGATGCCCTTAGGCTGTATCGGTGTGTGTGTGTGTGTGTGTGTGTGTGTGTGTGTGTGTGTGTGTGTGTGTTAGTTACAGTGAATGAGACTCGGGTCACGCAGATAATGCTTAATCTCAGATTGGTTGCTGACTTCTCACACCACAGTGCTTGAAAAGATCCGACACGCCAGCAGGCCGAGAAACCTCTGAACCTACATACAGACTACTGTGTGTGTGTGTTGTGTGTATGTGTGTGTGTGTGTGTGTGTGTGTGTGTGTGTGTGTGTGTGTGTGAATTGATTTACTTCTCAGATTTGACTGATTGTGCAGAACATATCTCGGTTACAATGCTTAACCAGCTGGGATGCCAACGTTAGCTTCCTCCCATCTGAAATCTGAGAACTCACAGGACTACCTACTGGATCGTCTCCTTGTCCTAATGCAGGATAAAGACAGCAGGAGTGTGCAGGCACTGCTGATCTTTGCAAGCGTTGATATAAAATAAGGTAATGGTAATCAGCAGTGTTGGGCAGTAACAAGCTAAGCTACAGAAACATGGCTTTTTTTTTTAACAATGCACCAAACAGATAACACAATCATGCACCTTACTACCATAGAAATATCCACCTGACTCTACATAACGTCTGTGAATGGCAGTAATCTCGCTTTCTTATCCTTTAGCAGTTTTATTTCAGGCCACGGCAGAAAGCTCTGCCTACGTCTGGGGAAACGTGGCTCGTGTGGATGCTGCCGCGCTACTTGATCAATAAAAAGAGCAAAGCTCCAGAAAAGTTATTTGATTACATGTTCTCTGTAGCTCTAATCTGAGGGACGAATATCTGTATGAGGGAAACAAAATGTACTGTTTAAATCAGCATAAAAGTGAACATCTGATCATCAGCTGACGACACACTCAGTGAAATCCATTTTTATCGGCTAGTTTGAATTTCAGTCCTGCATTTCTGTCTGAAGAGACAAAATCTTTTACATGAAGCAATAAAAGTGACACTACGGAGACAAAAAGAACTCATCTCCCGAGCAGTGACAGAACACGCTGGTTATTAGCATTTTCCTAAAATAGTTGTTTATTTTTAGGTCTGTATGTGTCTCTGTGTGAAGCTCTATGTAACCCAGGTCCTGTTTAAATAACGTCTGATGTCTCATGCTCGACGGCTGCGTGTCCTCGCAACATGAAATACATTTTTGTAAAATGATGAGAAGGACAATCAATGACCTCCAAAGAGGCAGCAGACTGATTCATCAATACACATTAACCAGCAGGATGCACAGCTGCAGCTGAGCCTTGTGTGTGTGTTTTAGCCTGTGTGTGTGTGTGTGTGTGTGTGTGTGTGTGTGTGTGTGTGTGTGTGTGTGTGTGTGTGTGTGTGGGTGTGTGGTCAGGTTAAACTCAGGACAATGACAATCAGCTCAGTGTCCAATCAGAAGCGGATTGTACAGACCGAAAGTAAAAGCAGCTGAGGAAGAAACATCTCATTATCACAGTGAACAGCACTGATACAGAAACACAGTTAAATTTAACTGTGTGAGGTCGCTAACTGCTAACGCCTCTGTTACTGAGCCATCAGTTTAGTTAACTGTCAACCCACTATCAGACAACAGAACAGGTTTATTTTCTGCTGTGTGTGTTTTAGGATGTGAGAAAACATGGTTCATCTCAGCTTCGGTTCAGGAATGACACCGACTGCGTTTACATGAACCAGATCGATGTGAGAAACCAAGTTAAGGTGAAGGCAGAGAGAGACTGAAACAGGTTTATTCCGTCAATATCAGTAGATACTAATATCTCAGCTAAAAGTTAAAACAGTCTGACAATACTGGCCAATCTGGCTGCAACACAATGATATACAATCTTGCAAAATACATTGTGACTCATATTGTGATACTCGTACTCGGACACAGTGTGATAACTGAAACATTCAGCCAGTGTCGCAAACATGCTATTAACGGGTTAAACTCAACACTAAACTACAAATAAATGTAAATAAACAAGATTTGTAGTCCAGAGCGTCTCTGCAGCACTACAGTACTTCATCATAACGCTGTTTCATTATACATTTTACTTTTAGCTAAAAATCGCAGCTTCTGCGATTTGGATATTTGTTCTCGACCTTATTGTGATTTCGATATATATCTCGACCCTATTTCAGACCACAAATATGTAATGGCGTTTGAAAGCCGTGAGTGTAATAAAAGGCAGCATGTCCAGTTGCATTTTGGGAAATGTAGGAGCCACTGGTTTTGGACCTTTATCTGTTTAAGTCCAACAACCTTACAGAAGTTAATTCTGTAAATAATATGTTAGTTAAGTAGCAGAGTACCTGGATTAAAACAGGACTGACACTTGTCCAGTAACTGTAACCTAACTGTAACTCAGTGTGTGTGTGTGTGTGTGTGTGTGTGTGTGTGTGTGTGTGTGTGTGTGTTTGCCCTCAATTTTACATTTAGGGTTCCCCCAATTTTTTTTTTCCTCCCTCCCTGCAGTGAAAATATAATTACAGTTCCTTCATTAAAGTGAGTAATTTCTTGCGTGGAGGACGCGACTACAGCTGTCCTCTGATTACTAAATGGAACAGAGCAATGATCTATGGAGCCATTAGGGGAACGGGCTGGAACTAATTTCAATCCTGGAATGGACCGATGGCTGCTTACACACACACACACACACACACACACACACACACACACACAAAGAGAGAGAGAGAGAGAGGGAGCGAGAGAAGGATCAAAAGAGGGGAGAGGGAGAGAGAAACAACAAACAGCAGCATGTCAGCCATTTTCTGGCCTCACACGAATCTCTGACTGAAATCTAAACTGATCATCTATCACATCTATAAGGAGTGTATCCATCCAAAGCTCTAAGGGCATTTTGAGACAAGAGTTGGTGTGTAAAGGTTTAAAGCCATTATCCAATGTTGTTCTGTGTGTAATTATGCAGAAAGAAAGAAAACACATATAGGGGCCCCCAGAGCAAGAATCTGTTTCTGGGTCCCAGTTAAGGAGTTAAAACTGGATTTGTATTAAAGAAGGCAAGACAGGATGCATTCGTTGATATATGAGTGGCTGCCCTGGGGCAGCTTCCTGCTTTGCCTCGTTGGTGAATCGACCTTGCCGATGTTTTGAACGAATAAGATTCAAATTGAAAACCATGAATTGTATTAATCAATATTTTGATTAAAAGCACTGATTCCCAGCCCCCCATGGTGTGTGGACCCGTACCAGGTAATGCAACAACCTAAGAACAACAATATGACTCAGCAGAAAGAGGTGAATAATACGTTTTTAGGCTATTACAGGCTATGTTTGGGGTAATAACCTTGAACATTCCTCACTGGTCCCTGTCATCACCCACTTAATAGGCTGTAAATATTAAGAAAGAAAGCTTTAACTGTAGATTAAAGGGCAAATCTGTGAAATTTTATATCCGTTGTTTGATGTTTTTGGCAGAAACCTACAACTAAACTAGTATAATAGTAATACTAGTAATAGTTTAGTTAAAAAAAGTTCTATCCTGGTGATATGCTGCATTTTTGGCTCTTTTAAACCAGGAAACTAACATGTAATTTCAGTCTGGTGCGTTGGATGCGTCTTACCTTCTATAGGTGATGTTTTCAGGCGGCGGCAGATGCCCTGCACGTCTCCGTACGTTTCTTGTATCTTGTTGACGGCCTCGGCGCTCCGCAGCTCCATCAGATCCCTCAGATCAGCCACGGTCACCCCAAAGTCCCCGTCATGGTTGCCCTCTGCAACCGAATTCCCCGGAGGGTGGTCCGCCGTGTTGTTGGCCATGTTGGTCCTCTTCAGAGAAGTGTTGTTGTTGTTGTTGTTGTAGTAGTAGTAGTTGTTGTCCCTCTGAGTGTCTTTTTTCTTTTTAAAGTGATCTACACTGCAGACCAGTAGTCAGTTCACAGGAATTGTGGGTAGTGTAGTTCTCACAGGGGGCAGGCGGAGGAGATGAGCGCTGAGGTTAACTCCTGACCCGGACGTGCATGCTCCTCTCGGGTTACCATGGAAACAGGGGAGTAAACATGTTCTCGTCGCTGCGGAGGAAACAGGAAGACAGATTGTAATAAACCGGATCCACTCAGGAGTCCGTACACACAGCAGTTACACATCAGCAGCAGCAGACAGATCAGTTCAAGGCTCTGATTTTACCTAATTAATAGCACAGAGACTAATTGGCCCAATTAGAGGAGAGTTTCTCATCTCGGATTATTAAAGGAGTCCGCTGAATCACCGAGGTCATTACGATATAAAGTGATTATCGGTTCGCACTGCTCCTCCGAGACATGTAATTGGTTGGTTAAATATCTTCTTGCCCTGAACCGTCCGCAGAGTTTATGACTCTGTTGTAGAAAGAACATTAAACTTTTAGTCTCATTTTGTCTTTTCTCTCATTTATGGATCAAACTCGAGTGAAGCACCAGTATGTCAAGTTCAATCTGTTTAACTCAAGTTAGAAAATAAACCTTCTAACACTTAAACACTCAGATTAAAAGGCTGGAAGTGATAACAATAGGGGGAAAAAGTATGAGTAGAACTCAATGCAATAACAACCATTTACAACGTTGTGTACTTTACACTTACATCTGTCTGACAGTTCAGCATCCCTTCTACAGCTGAGTTAATCTATAAATCCTCTCTGTGCCGGTAGAAGCACAGACATACAGCGAGCTCAACACACTTCCAATAAAAGCTGAAGTCAGGAGTCGGCCTTTGGATTCATCAGCTGGAAGCAAAAGTGAAACAGTGTTGGCTAACAAATTCAATTATAGTGATTACAAGTCAGAAAAAAAGGATAAAGATACCTCGACCTCAAAACCAAAGGCATTGTAAAAAATAATAAACCAATCAGCACAGTCCCAGTGAAGCTGGAGTCTTTTGTCCTGTTGATACAGAACCCGAGTTCAGGACTGAGTACGCTGCAGCTCTGAGAGCCAATCAACACCAAGTAGAGGATGATACGCCAATGAAAGGCAGAACTCCACTGGGTCAGTGTGCGAGTGTGCGTGGCTTTCCAACCCATCAACACAGATTATGTAAGTGCACATCAAAGGATGGCCTCCATTTTTCACTGTTCAGTGTTCTGTCATGCACACACACACACACACACACACACACACACACACCATCACAGCCTAAATGCTGCCTGTTAGTGCTGCAGTCAGAGTTCTCCCGAGTGGTAGTTTGTGTTATAGGTGACACAGGCAATCACCAAGGACACTGGTTCTCCCTTTTATGTAACAATGATTTGTGGGTTGTTGTTGTTGTTGTTGTTGTTGTTTTTGGATCAGATAAAATACAAATTAGACACAAAATTTCAGAACTTAAAAGAATATTTATGCAACACTAATGTCACTGAGTGCATTGTCTCTGTTTGATTAAGGAGATCTACACTCTGCTGTCTGCAGTGCATTTGTTTTAAAGTGAGTTTAAAGATTTAGGGGCATCTAGCAGTGTGGTTGCAGATTACAACACCCTTGCCTCACCCTCTCAGTGTAGGAGGAACTACGGTGGCCGCGAAACTTACAGAAAAGTTTGTCCACAGACGAAGTGGCATCACTGCGGTATCACTGATGAAATGTTTAATGACATTAAGGAGGAAGATTGTTTCTGTTTTCTCACATACAGTGGACGGATTTTAATTGATCTATTAGATACAACCTAGTGCAGTCCAAAGCTGTCATTGTCTATGGAGACAATGGGAACCAGGGGTGTCTTAAATCGCTTCTCCCACTTCACAACTCTATACTTCTGCTTGTATCCCTGAAGCACGAGGGAAACTGTAGTTTCAAAACTCAAAAAACAACTATCCCCCAAACAAAATCTCACATTTTTACAGAACTAAAGCTCAGTATATCAACGTGGTTCTTATTTAGCTGGAAAACTGACTTTCCATTCATTATTCACTATACAGATATTTACTCTGTTCCAAACCTGTGGACAAACAACTCAAACAAAGAGAATTACATAGTGAATTGTTTATTATATAAAAACCCTGTCATAAAAGCTGTCCTTGGACGTGTATATGCAAATTTATTGCATTTCTGAGTAGCCCGATTTATTCAGCGGGGACACCGAATGAGCCTTCACCTAGGGCGGCAAAACATCCGGGACCATCACTGTGAAATGTTCTGCTGGTTTGTTCCACTGTACTGGTTTGTACCTCGGAGCCTCTGTGGTGTCTTTGAGAGGGTTCTCTGTGGGTCCCTCAGGAACTAAACTCTCAGAACTAAATCAGGAAGTGAAGTCAGGACTCATTAACTATTCATTAAACAAACTCAATAAACAAGATATAAACTCGGGGACTAAACATCGCTTTAGCACGTTCCTGCGTTTCCACCGCATCTAAAAAGGAACCGTGACAGTCAGGTAAAGTGAAGCGATGGAGGATTTATTAAGCGTCAGTTATATTGAGATTAAAGAGCAGCAGCAGTTATCATGTTGTTCTTTATTTACTGTTGTTTCCTGTTGTTGTCTGGAGGTGGAAACGGAGAATGACATAACTGCCGTGCTGTTAAAATACTTGTAAAAGTCCTCAATTCTTAAAACGAGAGGTTTGAAAATCGTCCATAAGGAACTTAATTAATTGTATCTGTCTGTTAAACTCATTCCTCCTCCATTATTTTATTTCTTAACATATCAGGTTTCACAGTGAGTGAGTGTGTGTGTGTGTGTGTGTGTGTGCGCACGCGTTCAGCAATTATCCGTCTGCTCATTGACCAGAAGTCGAGTCATTATCATAATAAGACAACAGTGAAATAAAATGAAATAAACAGCCCACAGACGTCCCCACATTAATGTCTATTGTACATTATTACACAAATAGTTGGTGATGTCATTGTGATGGAACGTGCTAATTATAGATGATGAGATTACTTAATTACACGGGCACTAAGAGGAGGAAATGCACAAGTATTTCATTAGAACAGACCAAATAGGTACATAATTCCTACACGGATGATTCAGATTAAACCAACAACTTTGGTTAGCGTGTTCTTATCATTAATGGAAATAATGACAGCAATGTGTAAATAATAATAATGACACATAAAGTTCCCAAAGAACTGATAAAATATCTGTTTTCCTGGCTACACTCCTTTTTGGGATTAAAATTCTTTCTTCTCTTTATTGAACTGAGTCATAAACTGAGACAATTATATAAACTGAATACAAACTATTACTATATTTTATTACATGGAGGAGTTTTTGAAATTTGAAAGCAAAAACAGGCTTATTATGGTCTGAACTCTCAATCAGCTCACACGTCTTTGCTCTTGTAACCAAAAATAGTGGCAGTATTTGTCAAGTGTGCATGTGAGAGGGAGGAACTAGAAATGTGCTGATATATAAATATATACTGTGGAAAAAACATTCTGATGCAAAAAGTATATTACCGTCATTGGTTATCGCTGAGCTCACAGTGAACGCAGCACAGTGCCCCTCGCCTTCACTGTGAGCTTTATTTTGATGAGCCACAACAGAGCTCCCTTTTAACAAGACTATGCTATACTAATCCTACCTTGTCAACCAACTGAAGTGCAGCTAGTGTCTGGGTGCTGAGTTGCGACATTAAGCAAGACAGGGCCATGCATTTTACATGACTGACATGACAGGAAATGACATTCCTCTCGGGTCAACTTTAACTCCGACCAGGGTTCTTGTAAGTAGTAATGTGGAGATTGTGTGCAGATGGGTGGGTGTTGCTAGTGGCTTGTAAGAGCCTAATATAACAGAGCAGCGGTCCTCTTACTACGATGGGCTAACATTGTCCCCTTTTAACTATTAATACCAAGCAGAATACACTTACTACAAAGTTGTTGCACTCATAGAAGTGGCTGGATGGTGAAGTCTGAGAGAACGTACGCTACAAATACAATTCAGAGAGTTTGGGTTTGATAATAATGTGCAAATCTGAATTTAAGAGAATTGGATTTTAAGCTGCATTTAAAGTCATTTCCACTCAACTGTGAAACAACCAACCTGCTTAAGTTTATGGTGTATAATTATAGTACTTGATGTTACAACAATAAAGTCCAACAAAGTGTCAAAAATACTTATCGCTTAGGCGATCATGGTGTGAAGTAGTTTTACTATATTTACTATTACTATTTACTAGTATTTTGGGCCACAATAATCATAGTATGAAGATGTAACTTCCGTACTGAGAGCTGTTGAAGACGTAGAGAACGTGTTGGGAGGCTTATGAAAGAAAGAACTACACAACTGACAGATTTTGGGTGGAGTTTCACCACACACACACACGCACACACACACACGCACACACACACACACCTTTAGTGCTTGTTAGATACACCACCACACCCACTACAGTCCAAAGGTTAGCATTCCTATCTTTAGACCTTAATGACACACATACACACACACACTCACCTTTTCCTCTCTGTCATGTGACTGAGTGTGTATGTGGCCGTTGTGCTTTAATGAGCAAGTTTGACTAACGAAGACAAATACGTAAGCGCACACACACTGATAATACACACACTCACACTCCACTAGAGCTGCAACACTGTGAACTCTTTGCTTTACACGTAGGATTGATATCTGTTTAGAGGGAAACGATTTGTAAAAAGGCCCAAATAATACACACACAAGTTCTGACAGCTGATCATCTCATACTTTTTTATTTTGTCTTCATGGTTTTATTTTTCACAATTCTCAGTCCCCAAACTTTGCTCCTGTCAGAGTCAACCCAGGTCCAGACACATGAACTCTATAATTATGTTGAGTGAGTCAGAGGTCTGCTGTTCAGTGCTGGAAAAACAGCCGAGCTAATCTTTGTGGGCTGCACTAAAGCTGATGCTGATGTTATCGAGCTGCGTTAAGGCTACTGCCACCGCGCCGTGTCATAGGATGTACTCAAGCGTCAAGCGTTGCACTACAGCGCGTCAGTCTCTCAGCGGGTGGCATAGTAGTGCCATTTAACGGGATGTAACCTGGACCTATTCAACTGTGAAGGCCAACTGTTCACTTTGTTCATAGTAAAATTGCTCGTACTATATTAATAAAATAACATTAG